CAATAGTCTCCAGAATTCCTTTGAATCTTTTGATTTTAAATTTTTCATGTTCCTTGGCAACTTTCTTTTGTGATCAAGAATAGCTTGATCCATATCTTTTTTGTATCTTTTTTAGCTTCTTTCAAGTCTTGACAGTTTTGATTTGTTCTATTGGTTTTACGTTTTCTGAAATTTTGTCTCTCAAAATTACAATCATCGTTAAACCATCAAATTTTCCAAGTTTCTTTGTTTCTATTTGCTTAGAATTAGATAATTTACAAGTTTCAAATGTGGATTTGGAAAATTATAGAATATTAAACATAAATGATCGAGTAAGCTATTAATTTTTGTTTTATCGGCTGACGAGTACGTTTTACATTTATCTATGTTTCAACCAGCAACTTCGTTTAACAGTAAGGGGGGGGGGGGGGGGGGGGGGGGGGGGGGGGCTAGGATGAAATTTGAAAAAGGCAGGACAGGAGTTTTGAGTAAAAAAAAGGCAGGATGAGCAACTTGGCAAAAAAAAAAGGCAGGATGACAATTTATGTAAAAAAAAGTCAGGATAAAGTAATAAAATCAAAGCATCGTCGATGTTGTGATCCAGCCATATTCATAGCTAGTCTGATATTCTTTCTGACCATACTTTTTTCAATATTTTTTTCTTTTCTTTTCATTTCCAATTTTACTGTTTAATTTCTATGTTATTGCCCACAGGTAGGGAATTTCACAATATTGATGCAAATAATGATACATATATATTGATATTTCAATTTTAGACTCTGTCAGATTTTTTTTTTTTATAAATATTTGCAATTTAATGGTATTGGCATGAATGGAAAGGGAAATCGTCAAACAAGTAATATATTTTTTTATATGCCATTAATAATAACTGGCTTAATAATTTCCAGAAAGAGGCCAATGAAAATAAAATAATAACTAATTTTTACCTAAATAGCAATATAATGGGATATTAATGTAGAACAAACAAATAAATCTTATTGCAGAAAATGCTCAGGTAAGAGTTAAGCAATTTTATTTATTGTTTTAACCAAATTTCTGATAACTGTAAATAATTAATTAGATCTTGATTATTGACTTATGTCAGATGATAATGACACTGGTTTTACAAGTGAAATAAAATTTGCTTGCATTTTTTATACTTTTTTTTACATTTTTGTCTTTTCTCTGAAAAAAAACCACGTCTGATTAATCATTCAGCTAGTTAGCAAAATTAACAGAATATTTTAATGTAGTGTAGATCAAAATAAATACCATTTTTAGGACTATATACTGTCCTTTATATTTAGGTCATTTTGACACAGCAAAATATAAAGAAAACGTTAATTATATACAATGTTTCTGTGTTAAGAAAGTTTATCAGGAAATTGAGTTCTTTTTCGCAAAATAAACCCACTAAGTAACATACATTTATAACTCGACTTTGAATGATATATAATGTTTCTGTATTAAGAATGTTTATCAGGAAATTGAGTTCTTTTTCGCAAAATAAACCCACTAAGTAACATACATTTATAACTCGACTTTGAATGAAAATGACCCCTAAATGGCTAACAGATATTGATATAAAGAATAGTCCATGACGATCCTTGTTAAGAGTTCATGAAATGTACACAGATTCCGTTGATTTTGCCAGTTGAACAGACTACAATGAGATTAGATACACAAAATGTATATAAACATAAAGGTCTTTTCAACAGTTGTAGTGTAAATCAGTTGTATTTTTTGGTTGACATATACATATATATGCAATAGATCATTGGCTTTTCTACACATTGATACTTTACGATATCTATACGAAAAAAGCCGATTATCTGTTTATCGTTTAATTGCTGGTCTTTTTCACCTCCCTAAAACAGTTTTAACGCTAGATGAAAGCAAGCTTGATAGCGTCTCCTCACACATTATGACGTCGCTGAAAAATTTTGGTTGACATATATATATATATGTATAGATTATTGGCTTTTCTACACATTGATATCGTAAAATCTCAGCCAGCGAGCCACAATGAACCTTTTTGGCGAGTGAGCGCAGCGAACGAGCTGAAATGAATCACATTGTGTCCTCAGTGGGTGATATTTTTACGATATCTATACGAAGAAAACCTGATTATCTGTTTATCGTTCTATTACTGGCTTTTTCACCTCCCTAACCTGGCCTCAGACAGATTTTACGCTAGACGAAAGCAAGCTTGATAACGTCTCCTCACACACTGTGACGTCGCTGATTACATCTCCTCAGACATTATGACGTGAGTATTGACGTTGCTGATAATGCCTGCTCTCGTCTCAAAGCCGTGATACGAGAATTACGGAGCGACTGAGCAGGGTGACGTAGGGAAGGGATGGGATATGCAGCACATAAAGTTGAGAATTAGTACATCTATATTTCAGATCTGACTAGACTAGAGACTGCATGTGTTCAAACCTGACGTCAAACTATGTACTATAGAAGAAGAGACAAATAATGTCACATTAAATCCTATCACATTACATCTAAAGATAACAATAATCTAAAGTCAATTATATTACGATGTAAATGGAAGAAATTCCCGCGCAAATGTCATGACTGGGATAGACCAAAAAGAATTTTAGGTCTATGTTGTCATTCACATTCCGATCAATTTTCTCAGTTAAATAAAATATATATGTTAACTATATTTATATTGGTTTTGAATTTAGTTACTCTATCAGAAAAATGATTTATTTCTCGCAGACAACCCTTAATACTATACACCAACTCGACACTGAAGCTAAAAACCCCTAAAACATAATGGTATATGGAATCGTCCAAACTGAATTCCTAATATTGATAAAAGTGAAATATGTTGATTCAGAATTGTGTACACAGAAATAAGATCAGAAATAAAGCCCTATGTAAGGTGGGAAAAAAAACCAACTGTATAAAATCATTGGTTATTAAATTTGCTTCCATAAGAACCGTGAAGTTAAAATTAATAACGATTACGTGTATCCTGTCAACCCCTGAAAAAATAATACTGTCTCTTGACTACTTCCGCGAGGGACTGACTGATTTTTACATCGAATGACCGTGAGGGCATTCCGGTGTATTGCTGTCGCCTAGATTTCCATTACGTAACTTTCGTATTGGGATTGTAACCGATCTATAAACATGATAAATACGCGGACATTATCGAGTGCAAAATAACATTCCTTATCGCTTGTTATAAATTCATTTTTTCAATGGATACTCCTAAAAATATTTTTTTAGAACATAGATTAATAATATGAAAATGTTTTGTCGTTAGAAATATGTATAAAAGTAAAAAATCTTTAATATCTATGCACACGTACAGAAAATGTGTGTTAACGCATGCGGAAGAATATCTCAAGAACGTTTGCAATCTTCCCTGAATTGTTATCGGTCCTCGCTCTCTCTCAAGGACCGATAACTCTGCATGGGAGATTGAAAGTTTGGCGGGAAAATATGAATGCCTACTCAAATCCAATCTATTAGAAAAATCGAATTATAACAGAAACGTGTCCACCATGCACTTGCACTGCACTATTATTAATATAGTAGAATAGAATGATATACAAATGGATGAAAATTATATATATATGTAGGACTCAAATCTATGGCGGGTTCCAGATCTATGGCAGATTCCTAATCTATGGTAAATATGACGTCATGTCATCCCAAATCTATGGCAGTTTTTTTTAGAATCCTAATCTATGGCAACTTTTTAGTTTCCTAATCTATGGCAATTTTTTTAGTTTCCTAATCTATGGCGGATTTCTAGATTTCAAATCTATGACAGATTTTCTGCAAAGGTCGGACCAGTCAGTGCATATCTGACCAATGATTTCGAGGTTGAAATGTCCAAAGGTAGCAAAAAAGCTGCTTTTAAATAAAATCCAGTATTAGAAAAACAAATTAGGACTATTACTAGGAAGCATATACATAACCGTTTGTAAAATGAGCACAGACTGTAGGTTTGAAATCATGTGCCCCGGAAGAATACTTATTTTCTACTCTGTGTATACTAGTAGTACCTGTGTGACCCTCTAAAAAAATCCGTATTTCTCCAACAGTACAGTTTTTCGACATATTTAGAGCGGAAAACGATATTAATATCTATTAGAAATCTATATCATATTTATTTTTTCCAAATCTCAAGAAGGATTGTTTGCTACAATAGTACAGGTAGTCACTGTTATATAGCTGACAAAATACTTTATGTTGTGTTACTTCTTACAGAAAATTAAAGAGATCATAGGAATACAAAAAAATAGCATAAAAACACAAAACAGCAAACCAAAATGCACGGTAAAAGCTCGTACAATTAAGGGTGATGCCAACACCAGCAACACGAGAAGAAGAAAACAAGGGTAGAAACAAACACAATTTTGAATTATAATTTATTTATTAATTTTTATCCTTGCAAACTTGCTTTTCGATCTTTTTCTTTTCCTTTTGTATAACAAAACCGTCGTCGTCATCGGCAGCTTCAACGTTCCATGACGTTATTTAATTGTGACGGAAAATTACGTAGTATCCAAATCTGCCATAGATTTGGAGAAAACAAAATACTGCCATAGATTTGTGTTATGTTTGGCGTTTGTGACATCATATTTACCATAGATTAGGGATTTGCAGAAATTTGCCATAGATCTGGAACCCACCATAGATCTGAGTCCTACATATATGTAACTGTAATAAACAAATATTAATATAATATATAACAACAAACCAGAGTATACTGATTTGTATCACTTCAATATCATATTTATTACGGTGAGGTTGAATTCCCTGTCATTTATTTATCATCCACGCACGAACTTGTCTAAGAAAAAAAAATTATATCTGTACATTAACCTCACTTTCAGGTATAGAGATGTGATTTTTTTTTCTGAGACAAGTGCTTGTGACCATCCACAAGAACTTGCAGTCATACGATGTTCAGTACTTCAGTACTTTGATTTAATATATTGTTATAGAGTATGTTAATTAATGAGATAAATTGTTTAACATTTCAATAGAACCGAGCATATTCTGGAGTAAACGAAGATGAATATTATATAGAAGGTGGAATACAGATCTCAACTAGCTTAGCACCCTTGTCACGGAAGTCAATATCACTGGAGAGTGAAATAACTCGTGGAAGATTTGCTATAATTTATAAAGCTATTTATTATGGTAATAACAAGGACGCTGAGACTGTTGTTGCAAAGACTCTTAAAGGTAAAAAGAAATTATACTAGTGTTGCAAGTAAATAAATTTGAAGACGAAACAAATATTCTGTTATTAATGTCATTAGAATTGTGTACTTTTATTAGCTCACCTGGCCGACAGGCTAAGTGAGATTTTCTCATCACTTGGCGTCCGTCTTCCGTCGTCATCGTTGTCCGTCGTCGTAAACTTGTACAAAAATCTTCTCCTCTGAAACTGCTGATCCAAATTTAACCAAACTTGGCCACAATCATCATCTGGGTATCTAGTATAACTATGTGTCCGATGACCCCGTCTGCCAACCAAGATGGCCGACATGGCTAATCATAGAACATAAGGGTAAAATGCAAGTTTTGCCTATTATTTTGAAAACCGCTATGAAAAGAGAAAATCTGACAGGGCAAAACTGTTCAGAATGTTTAAGCTCTACCTAAAAATGTTTGCTTATTAGATAGATAGAAACTTTGAATAGCAAAAATGATCAACAAGACATAGAGCTACAAATAAGTCAACATCGCCGAAATATTCAGTTGACTCCTTTTTAGAGTGATTGACTTATAATAACGATTTTTACATTTTTTTGGTATTTTTGCCTTATATCTTAAAAACTATATTAGATAGATAGGAACTTTAAATAACAAAAAACGATCAGCAAGACAAGATCTACAAATAAGTCAACATGACCGAAATTGTTAGTCGAATCCTTATTGAAGTTATTGCCCTTTAATGACGATTTTTCCCTTTTTTGCCGATTATCTTGTAATAGACAGATAGAAACTTTAAATAGCACAAATGATCAGTAAGTCTTAGACAAGATCCACAAATAAGCCACAAATAATCGAAATCTTCAGTCGACTCATTATTGGAGTTATTGCTCTTTAATGATGATTTTTAACGTGTTTTGCCTATTGTCTTGAAAACTATAATAGATAAATAGAAACTTTAAACAGGAAAAAATATCAGCAGGATAAGATCTACAAATATGCCAACTTGATTGAAATTGTCAGTTAACTCTTATATATAGTTATTGCCCTTTAAAGATGATTTTTACTAAAAAGTGGCCATTGTTTCTCAGATGGAAAAAATGTATTACTGTGTAGTGCACGTGATTACAATGTATTTAGATAATTTATTCATATATAAGTCTGACAGAATATTATGTATTTCTAAGACGACTTAGTTAAACATTTTAGATCAAGCAATTGGTGATGATCTAAAAAAGATGAGGACAAAAATAAATTTCTATGCAACAAAAGTTGGCCATGACAAACACGTACTTGATTTTAAAGGATTTGTTGAAGACGATGTTCGTAAGTTTACCATACATAGTCTTATTTTATTGTTACTAGTTATACAAAGTCAGTTAAGCTGAGCAGTACTGTTTGTGTAAATGTCTTTTTGATAAACATTTAAAGTTATGTCACATATGTGGAACCTCAAAACTTTATAATGGTTTATGTATATATATGTTGTTTGTGCTGTATTTAGACCCCTCTACCAAGAAATTTGTTTTGCATGCACACGTATAAAAATTGCGGTTTTTATCCAACGCAATCATAGGTTTGAACGTTGTTTTCAATTTAGACTTGTATATATATATATATATATATATATATAAAACATTTTGAATCTCAAGAAATGATAATCGGACTGACTGTAATGTTAACATGCAGTGCCATTTCTGTAACGGTTTACAAAGCATTACCCATTATTATTATTTTAATTCAAAAATTTTTAAAAACATTTCCCTGAGCATTGGTTCCTTTGTGCATATGTTTGATAATCTGACAAATAATTGCTTACATCCACTTTATTTGAACTTTGGTGGATAGTTGTCTCATTGGCAATCATACCTCATCTCCTTATTTTTAAAAGTATATAAAGTTTAAAATATCGTTCAGTTCAAAGTGATCATATACATGAAAATGCACCACATAAGCTCACTGATTTTATTTTATTTTTAATTCTCAAATTTTATTAAACATCGTTTACATAGTGTTTAATTTGGAATGTATATAATGTATAAATGCTCTAAGCATATGATTACGAATGCGGCCATGTCTTTCAAAAAGCAAGATATGTCACTGCAGAAATATGTATTGTGGTAATCTGTTATATTTTCGACTACTTCAATATTTTAGTCAGTCCAAAATATTTATTTTTCCGAATTGTTAATCCCTTACTATATAAATATGTTATTTGATTGTTTTCATTTAAAACAAAATAGCAAGTTTAATTATCTATCTTTTTTGTCGCAATATTTCTATTTATTAATGTGGGGAATTTCTTATCTGTTTTGTGAACATATTCATTGATTTCACTTATTGAACATAACCAAATGAAATAGATTAGTCAATTAAACTAAGTTTACTTGTTTAACTAATTACGTAGGAGGGCCCTTCATGGTGCTAGAATTTTGTGAAAATGGAAGTTTGAAGGATTACCTCAGAGAAAATAAATCAAGAGTCAATGATGACATGACGGAGAGATTGTATCGGATATCATATGGAACTTGTATGGGGATGGACTATTTAGCCTCAAACGGGGTAAGGATGATATAACTTCTCGGAACTTTTTAATTTGTTGAATCAATCGAACATTTATGAATCGCTAATTCAATACAAATACGATGACTGTAGTCACAATAATTTGCTCGACCCAAAAAATGTTTTTTTAAAATTACGAATAGATTTCAAGATGATTTCAAGGCTGTATCATTTCATAACTTTTCATATACTGAAGAATGCGACGTGTTAAATTGCTTTCATTCTTTTCATTCTGATGTTTTTATCATATGTCATTTAGATTGTCCACAGAAGACTTGCAGCCAGAAACATACTTCTTAACTTCTTGTTAGAACCAAAAATAACCGGATTTGGACCGGACCCAGATGCTGATAAGGATAATGACGATTCCTCTGTAAGTACATGCATTTGTTTACAAAAATAAGGATAAAATAAAACGTCATACAGTACTTTTATCGTGAATCAAAAACAGCATTTTTTAACTTTTTTTTTAATCAAAAAACATAGTACTTAATGGCAATGTGCAACTTCTATTTATTTTTGATCCAGATAATTTCTTTTTTTTTTCAAAGCAAAACATATTCTTTGCCATAACTTGAAAAGGGACAGGCATGATGTATTCGAAACTGTACTAAAACTACTGACTGTTTTTAACAAAAACCGTTCCAGAAACCCTCTAAAATGATTCAAATGTGCACCTTCATATTATTTATTCAATTGTGTTCTTTTGGTTTTCCACACATGTTAAAATTAGGAAGCAGGGTATCTGTGATTTTTTGTTTTTTGTTTTGTTTTAATCTTTATTCTAAATCGTGGTAGAAATGCAATGTCATAAAAGTCAAATATAAATTTGATGGTTGCAGGAAAGGATTCCTGTGAAATGGATGGCTCCTGAGTGTATGTCAAGCACAAAGAAAGCCACTGAGAAGAGTGACGTTTGGTCTTATGGAATAGTCCTGTGGGAGATTTTCTCTATGGGTAACTTTTTTTACTGACTAAAGACTTTAATATAAAAGCTATGCCTATTACATAGGTAAATCTACCTTTATATATTGATACAAATAAGAATATCATTTAAGCCATTATCTTATCTATAGTGCTATCAATAAAAGTCGTAAATTGCTAAACACAGAAACTTCATGGCTTGAGAATTTTGTTATTACTGTTAGCCAAACGTGTTCAGAAATAAAAAGTAGAAATATATATTAAACAAAAGAAATGGAATAAGAACAAAAAATCATAAATTGTGGAGCATTTTCCTTACCTTATGCAATCGCTGTTCATTAATAGTCCATTTATGTAAATTATGAAGTATATCTTCTGCTTCTACTTGTAATAAACTTTTGACACATTGAGTTTTTAACATTTGAGTTTTCTTCTAAAGGCGAGACCCCATACCCTGATATAAAAGGCCCACGTCTGCCAGACTGGCTCAAACAGAATAATAGAATGGCTAAACCGGAATACTGCGATGATACGTAAGTAAAGACATTAATTGAACATTATATAATTTTGTGCATATATGTTTTTTGTCAACTTTTGATCCAACATATTTTTATAATTATACGAAGAAATGGTGTGCAAATAAGCGTGTTTCGTTATAAGTCCACCATATCCAAACATTGCTCCAAATCAATATAAAAAATATAATAGAAAGCAACAGTAATCAAACGAAACAGTTTTTATTCAATTTCTTTGATAGATCAGGATTGATTAAGATAAACGTTACACTTCTTTCACAATTTAAACGCATTCTATCAAATTGCTTGGGTAAAAAGTAAAAAAAAAATGTTTTCTCCAGCAGAGTTTGCGAACCAAGGCAAAGGGTGTATACATACGAATAGTGATGGAATATACGAACTTAAATATTTCACAAGACCAATTCTGTTTTACAACTGTATTAATGTATGTTACAAGGTATGCAACATTTCCAATATGTTTTACTTACGGACTCATTGCCGTAAAAAAAACCACCAAACACGTTGTTCAAATGTGTGTGTGAAGAAAACTCGTTAAAAATACTAATAATCGGCGCTATATATGGGTGGATTGAGCGTTCACAAACCCCTCCAATTTATATTCATGTGTGTGCTTGTGAATGTCCCAAGTCAGGAGTTTGTAATTAAGTTATTGTCCTTGGTTGCTGCTTGTTTTCCGTTCATTGTTTTGTCATAAATCACCTCGTTTGTTTTTCGTTTGAATTGTTTTACATTTTGTCATGTCGGGGCCTTTTATAGCTTGCAATGCGGTATGGGTTTTGCTCATTGTTGAAGGCTGTATTGTGACCTATAGTTACTTACATCTTCGTTATTTGGACTCTTGTCGATGATGTATCATTGGCAACCGTACAATATCTATTTATTTTATATTATAATTTGGTACGCCAGACGCGTGTTTTGTCTACATAAGCCTAAACTTTCCAATCTAACGGAATTTTGACAATTTCTTTTAATGCAATCCGGGAATGAAATCTACATTATGTTATTAGGGATTTATTTCTATATATTTGTGATCACGCCTCATCCGTATTCAAGGCTGGTGAAGGAAAACGGACTGAAACTGGGAAACAAATTGAAAGTATTCGTATATTTTTGGTTCTGTGGTTATGTTAAGATGCTAAGTAAAGATTACGGTAATCAGTTCTAAGTAACATCTGAAAAGGCAAGACAAGTATATATATTTTTTTTGTGTGTTTTTTTCCCCTACTCTTTAAATGAATCGTTTGACAAACTTGCCAATTAGTAATAATGATAAACCAAGGTAGTCTGGAGGTGAGTTCCTGTATAACTTTAAAAATTACGCGTTTTAATATTCATATATTTGGAGGCAGGGGTTTCAGCAAGAGTAAGCTGTATGCAATCCTATTTTGTCGGTGATGTTTATACATTATTGAACCCGTAAATTTAGATACAATCACTCTTATTGATCCATTGTATATATATATTTCCTTAAATGTTATCAATTTAACAATGTAGTAACATCCTTGCATATTTTCTTTTTCTGGACTAGCATTGATTTTTTTTTAAATAAATCAAAACATTACTTAACATGCATTGATATACAATAAGGAACACTTATGGTCCTACATCATGTCGATACGTATATTTCGGCATTTCACAAGGTGAAAAGTAAAATAACAATAATACCAAACTCCAAGGAAAATTCAAATGCATTTCTTCTGTTTATGGCGAATTTACACCACATCCGTTGAATGTGTACTGATTATTATTTGGAACGGATACCTTACTATTTCCCCAATTATACTTCAATGCAATTTTACCATAATTGAAGGATTATTTTTTATTCCCTATATTATACTGTCAAATTTCAATTACATTCTCATAAAAGTAGCCTCCTTTGTGGTGTCTTGGAGATTTCTTGAAGGGTCATGACACGTATTTAAGAGAGCTACACTATTTTGAGTATTAATAGGGTCATTTTATTCACTTCCTGGTTAAAATCGAAAATAACATTAGGACCATTTACTAAGACAATCATCCACCCAATACGTTTCAGAATCACTCAAAATTTAACAGCAGTTAAAAGTTTGATGAATACCCTTTGAATATACTGCAAATTTAAGCATCTTTACTTAATTATCATCTCGGTACAGTATTCCATTTAAAAGATAGTAGACTTATTAAAGGGTTTCATTTGTGGGTACTGAACTGGTATCCAGTTACTGGGATCCTATTCTATTATAGTCTTGGAAAAATACTTATTTATAAGTTGTACGTGGCTTTTAATTAGATTTCAGTAACTGTACGTACTCTTAGATCGATACGTTGAACAGTTTTTGTTATTTTGTTTGTGTGTTTCAGTATGTCATTATCCCGGGTTAAAGAGAGAGTTGAGCGTTCACGAAAATATCTAATATTCTTTATGTGCCTGTTCCAAATCATGAGCCTCTTATTCAAGGGTTGTAGTAATGTTGGTTGCCGTCTTCCGTTTTGTTTTTAGTTGATTATTTTATTATAAATCCAGCTGTTTGTTTTCTCAATGAAAGTTTTTTACACTGTCCTACTAGGGCCATTTATTGCTTACTATACGGTATGAAATTCGCTCATTGTTAAAAGCCTATAGTTGCTTACATCAAGCCCCTTAGGGGTGTTGTGGATAGGTGTTGCATTAGAAATTCTACCACATCTTCTTATTTTTATTTTACAACCGCTGGGTCAATATCACTGCTAATGAACGTTTGGTCCCCTAGTGTATCATAGCTCATTAGTTAGTGCTTCTATGCTGACATGAAATATCAATGATATAGTAATTTTGAATTTCTGGTTTTCAATGCTTTTTCAATTTTGGTTGATTGTGCATTTTTTTTTATTCGACTGCCGTAGGTGAGTCTAATGCAGATAAGACGCGTGTCTAGCGTACAAAATATTAAGCCGGTGTCTTCGAAAAGATGTCTTACAAAGCAAAAAATTATGTATATTGCGTTTGGAGTTCTAAAGGGCACAATGTACAATATCTTATATTTTGTCATTTGTTTTAAGCTGTCAAAAAATGGGGCTAATGTTTGACTGATAATGGGCGAGTTTTAAAAAAATTGAATAATGATATGATATCTTTTCTTAAGTATAGATTTGTGAATGACAAAATAACATGGGTTGTTTAGATGTGCAATATTTAGGATTCAACTTGGTCAGTGTTCATGAAGTTCTTTTTATATCCAACTCTTAAGGATGTGTATAATGCTTTGCCTCTGTACGTCCGATCAATAATATGTCCTTGGCACATTTCGGAGATACCTAAAGTTTGTAATAATGGTTCATGTAAGCACATTATGCCGTGTGATGTGTTTCATCATCCATCGCCTATTAAATTCATGTCTACCGAAATCATGTATAATCTTAAATATAATGGCCATGTTTGACATTTTTGTAGTATTTTTCACATGAATAACGAATCAGTAGCTCATTTCACAAAAAATCTTACGAGTTAAGTCATGAAATTTCAGTATGACTTACGATCAATTTTAGTCGTAAGATTTTTTGAGAAATGAGCCCCAGAGCTTCCTGTTATTTTCAGCTTCAGGTGAGCCTACTTCCGTGTGATTTTTAATGCATCGATAATCAACTTCATTCATAGTGTTGTCAGTTTGTTTTCGATGTGTGCGTTTAAATATTGCTTTGGTATCTTCCGTCTCTCTTTTCTCTGTTTACTGGTTACATATAGCGAGACTATCATTAATGACATATAGCTCACAGTCCATCTTATCACATCCAAATTTCCATAACTAAATGTTGTAATGTTAGCATTTTAATCTAATTTTTAATTGCAGATGTATAACAAATTCAGATATTCAAATTTGAGCAATAAAGAAACACACTAGCCTTGAATATTGGCTTGGTAATATTTTTTTTTTCAGGAAATAACGTCTATAGTCAAATTATGGTTTATTTTCGAAGAGAACCAATTTTATCAGGCCATCTAAACCATGTGTTTTTCTTTCTCTTATTAATCTGTTTGTAATCATAAGGAGATGTAGTATGATTGCAAATGAGACAACTAACCATCAGATATGAAATGGAGAAGAGGTAAGCAGCTATAGGGCACCGTATGGCCTTCAACAATGAGCAAAACCATAACCGAATAGTAAATGGTAAAAGGTTCCGATATGAACAAAAATGTACATCAATTCAAACGAGAAAATCAACGGCCTCATTTATAGGTTTAACCCCTTGGAGTCGGAATTAGGTTGTTGTTGGTTTGGTCTTCAACTGTGGTTGAACTATTTACAAACATTTTAATATCTTTTCGTTGTTTTTATATCTTCCAGGTTTTACAAAATGATGAAGAAATGCTGGCAGTATGAACCGAATAAGAGACCAAACTTCAAAAAGTTAAATACCGACTTAGCCAAGATGTTTTCTGAGGGCCCCGACGAAGAGTATTATTACAGATCATCTCGAATCTACGATAACAGAACATAGTAAAAGACGTTTAATGAACTTTATATCCCGTGCAAGATTGATAAATTACGAATAATTGAGATGTACTCCTGAAAAAAGATAGCCCGACATGTGATATTTGATATACACTATGATAGTATGGTTATTTTAGAAATGATAGCTTTAGACTGTTTAACATGTTTGTCAGGAATTTTACCTTATTCTAGAATAAAGCATGAAAAAAGTATGATATTCTATAAACATTTAAAGAAATCATCTTGTAAATAACTTTTGTATATACAATATATCAGATCATATTTTATAAACTATACATATGCAGCCATTGTTCTGTGATTAACATGTATACTAACTACCTGGAACTGCTCTCATGTCGAATTAAACTGGACAGTTATGCTTTAATTTTATGTCCCATCAAATACATACACTCATAAATTAGCTATTGAGCAGGGTCGTTATAGAAAGATTGAGTAAAATAAAAGAATATGTAAATTTTGTTCTTTAAAGTCAATTGAAGATGAAATTGATTTCCTGATGGAATGTCTAGCATTCGAACAACAACGACAAGTTATTTTAGATTCTGCTTTAAAAATATGTAATAATTTCAAAATACAGAAAACAGATTTGTTTTGCTTCTTTCACGTGAACATGAAGAAATAAGCAACACTGTGGCTTTGATTTGTTATAAATGTTTTACAATAAGACATGATATTGTTAAATTCATATTATCATAAGTATTATCAATATCGTTTCTTTACTTATGTGTATTTGTAATCATTATATGTAACATGCCCTTTCTGGGCCAATAATTGGTTTAATAAAGTATTCGTATTCGTATTCCTATATACATAAAAGAATATATATAGTATATAACATGAAATATTTTGACAAACGTTGACTTGTAAATAAATAGAAGTTGTGTTAGATAGGTTAGTCGTTTTTCTAGAAATGATGAGCGCACAACTAGAAAATATATAAATAGTACTTAGATTTAAAATGAGAAGATGATTTGTTAAACTTGATAAAATTTCAAGCTTTTGAATAATTATTGTGTTTCAAGTCCAACAGGGAAAACAGTACTTTATGCTTTGTTTTTTTTATTTAGATAATCAAATGTTGTATTTAATTTTTAGTATGCATTCATCAATAAAGCTTTATATATGAGTTTATTTCTCACTCTCCAAATTGTTTGCATGATATCTGTCTTTCAGTCCAAATATACACAATCTGACAAAGGAAACCATGTTACAATTAAAGTTTACATAAGAACGGCCGTCTGTGTATCAAGGACTCCATTCATTAATCTACATTTGAATGGATTTTTATAAGAGAGAAACCGTTAGGGTCCGATTCAAGAAATTTTTGACGAACAGCTGTAAAAGTTATATGTATAGATTTTGTACTTAATGTTGAAATAGCTAAACATCATCATTTTCACATTGTATTTAGCTACAATTCGGACATTAAAGACGGTGTATAATTTAAATAGAATGGTAAAAGTATGCTCCCTACTACCGTAAACTAGATAAAGTAGCCACAGGTGATGGTTGAATAATGCCGCTAAAGAAAAATAAATCAATCTGAAGCAACATTTCTGACAGGTTTCATGAAGTCACATTAAAAAGTTTTATTGAAATTGTGAGAGAGGAACGCACCTTAACTTAGATATCCAAAGAATTTAAGCACTCCATAAATAGTGTATCTACATTTATTTTATGATGAAGAATACGATTAAAACATAATAAATACAATTGCATTATTGAATTGTTGCTAGAAATAGTATTCGTGACTAGAATTAAATCTAACAAAGATTTCAGCTAAACCAGGATTAAATTTAATCCACAGTAATACATCTGAACCAAGTCATTGTAACAAGAACCTTCCAGTTCACTGCATTCACTTTCTTTTCCCTTCACTTGGTAGTCCGTCATTGTTTGCTTTAGTTTTAGCCTCTGAAAAGATTTACAACACAAATAAAGACCAAAAAAGATCTAAGAGAAGATTTGCGGTATTCAAGACCGCAACCACTAACAAAATAAAACCAAAATACATTTACTGTTCAACGTTTACTCTTCAACAAATGTGTCTATGCACTGTACCATATGTCAAAGTAAGTCGTCTTGAGGATAAGTTATAACTTTTTTTAAAGAAACTACTAAGTGTCTTCTCTAAAAACTGAAGGAGGGAACACCTCATGAGCTACGAAACAGATGAGGCTTTTAAACTTAGACAGACACAATAACGTGGGTTTTAATTTCACCATTTCGGAAATTTGTAGTTTTAGAATCTCGCATAAGAGAAAATATAAAGCTTCGAAGTTGATAATTTATCATATTAAATAAGCCGATTTAAGTCTGGGAGAACATGATTTATTTTCTAGTATTAGTTGTACTTGGCTTTGACCTAACTTTTAGTAACTGCGAGTATTCTTATATCGGTGCTTTATATCTACTGTTTTTATGTTAGTTGTTTTCGTGCTCTGTGCCGATCCATTGAGTTGCGCAATCTGTAATAGATTTTTTACACTTTTTTCTTTTACACCACTGTTTGGGATTAAATGGAGGGTTGAGCGCTTAAAAATAGGTTTAACCCCGCCACATTCTATATCTGCCTGTCCAAAGTCAGGAGCCTGTAATTTAGTGGTTGTAGTTGGTTCATGTCTGTCATATTTGTTTTCTTAAATTGAATTGCTTTAAGATAGGCGGTTATTTTTCTCGTTTCACATTTGTCTTATCGGAGATTTTTATAGCTGACTATATAGTATGTTTTCTCATTGCTGATGGGCGCACAGTGACCTTTAATTGCTTGCTTCCACATCATTAGAACTCTGGTAGGTAGTTGTCTCATATGTGTCATTGGCAATCAAATCACATCTCCTTATTTTTATATTTAACTTGAAAACGATGTCGATTGGCCTGAAATATTCTGAATGTAAAATTATGATGTGGTATGAATGGCAATGAGACAACTATCCACCAAAGACAAGTGGCACATATATGATTGCTTTTAAATGGTTATATAGCTCTTCAACTCTTTCGGTTCTTGTGCATCCTTGGCCTTCAAATATAAGCCTTTGACCGTGCTGATGAAGGTAAATCCAGAAAAGAGCCTGCGGAATCATAACATTTATAACTTGTTGTTTTCATTTTTTATAGATAAAATTTAATATCAGACTTGCGAATTGGTTTGTACTGAATCACTGAACGCAAATTTTTGTATAGTGATTTTGTGTAAAATAACGTTGTTTATTTACACATAACTGTTAAATGATAGAAAAAGCCCCAGGTGTACCTATATTTTTAATTCAGAGTGTTGTATTGATATCCATTGGGTTTTCAGAGAGCGAGGACATTTTTGATATATCAAAATTTTCGAAAACTCGCACGTACGTTTTCAAAGTTTCTGACTGTAAGTAACCAAGATAAATATATGAAGTAAATAGATATGTTTTGCACTTGTACAATAACCTATGGATTTAAACCCGTTATGAAAATTGAAATTGTTTCATGAATGAAATGGGATATTTCGAAGAGCAAATAAAATAGCTCTGCAGAAAAACATGCATAAGGATACCATATTCAAATCAAACAGTTTGTTTTACAATTATGTAAAGTTTCCACTAAATCAATCCAACCAAACTCAAGTTATGCTACAATATGTGAAACATGTATTAAAATCTGAAAATAAAAGTCCTATACCTCTGAAGCGACAAATTAAAAAAAAAATCAAAAGGGAGCTTCCTTTATCAATCCCAACGATAATGTAAAGTTGGAGGAAATCAATCCAGGAAAACTGGAGTTAGTGGCGATTTGTGAAAAATTACCTTAAACGTAACTCTGCAACGACAAACTGGAAAATTGAAACAATCACAAAGGACTTTTCTTTCATCAATTCCCTCAATAATAAGTTTCGGGGAAATCAATTCAGGAACACTGGAGTAAATGTGCGATTTATGAAAAATTCTCTTAAATCTAGGGGTCAAAGGTCCGTAATTCTGGAATGACCAAGCCAAAATAAAATCAAACAGATCTTTCTTCATTCCATTCTAGTGTTGTGTAAAAGTAATATGAGAATGGTTAAAGCGAATTTGATTTATCGTACGAAGTAATGACGGACGGACGAATATTGGTATTCCATAAAACGTCTTGTTTTTGATGGGCGTATAAAAACGAAACAGAAAGACCCAGAGATTTTCACTACTGGGAATAGGATACATCGGACTTTTTTCAGATTAATCTTAGACTACGATATAATATCCCTCGTGAGTTAAACAGATTGATCGGTCAATAATTTTTATTATTTTACTTTTTACCGTGTCACAAAAAAAAAGAATTGTCCCTCATGTGTTTAATATGCCGGCCATGAGTCTCGTTAAACAAAATCACTATCTTAATATTATCTGATCATAACTGTACATATAACAGTGTGTCTGTGCTATCACGTTTAGCTTAATCATTTAAGAAAGGAACATAAGTATAACTTACGACAATCGGGCCCGCAAAAATCCAGTCCACTGCTAGAGCTGCCTTGGGTACCAGTGCTCGCAGCCACTGTGAATAGATTTAAGCATTATCATCATCATTTATCAAAACGTTTGAGGTCATAAATTGTTAGTTCAAGTAGTTCTTAAATTAGTAAAATCACTACTAAAACGGTAGATTGATGCTCGTCTTATTGTGGAGATAAAGTTCTTTCTATTGCGTTGTAGAATACAATAGATAGATGGAAAGCCGACTCTGGCTTGACGCAACATTGGAGAGTGGAAGTCATATGAGTGCCATTTTGGGGACTTTTTTGTTACAATATTACTGTGACGAGTCGGTTTCTTTCAAAACAGTCGCCTAATATAAATTCGAAACAGGCTGTGCATAATACATGACCTTTGTGTATATATTTTAGAAGTTTTAACTTGAAAATGTTGTGATATTACGTACAATAATGTCGTCATTCACAACAACAACTAACCAAATCTTTAAACAGACTTAATTAAAGGAGATATAGTTACGATACTGTTGTCAAGTCATTAAAGATGGCATTTTTTGGAATTGATATTGATTCTCTCATTGGATCTTTGCATCGGAAATAAACACATGCATTCTAAAATTATGGCATGATACTAAACCCCTAACGGGAGGGGTGGTGCTTGATTTTCATATGATGATGACATAATCTTTCGATCAGTTTAATTGAGGTCTGGAGCTGGCTTTTCAGTAACTGCTAGTAGTCCTTTGTTAATTTATGTTGATCATTGTCAATTTGCTTAGTTTCTTCTGTTACCTATACTAACTTTGGACTCGGACTTCTTCTATACTGAGTTTTGACTGTGCTTGTGTTTGTTTATTCCACATTGCTAGAGTTATAAAGGGGTGGTTGAGATCTCATAAAACATGTTTAACCCCGCCGCATTTATGCGCCTGTCCCAAGTCCGGAACTTGTAGTCTTTGTTTGTCTTGTGAGTTTTTTTAATTTGAGTTCATTCATATGTTTCGGAGTTTAGTGTTGCGTCATTTTCGCTGAACAAGTATACAGTATAGTTTAGTGGCCAGGGTGAAGCCCGCCTCTGGGTGCGGAATTTTCTCGCTGCATTGAAGACCCATTGGTGGCCTTGAGCTGTTTTCTGCTCTTTGGTCGGGTTGTTGTCTCTTTGACACATTCCCCGTTTCCATTCTCAATTCTATTAATAAGTATATCTAAACTTTCAAACCCGACCTCGTCGCCAGTCGCACAAAACTTTAAAAAGATTAAGCACAGGATACCCCGTTGACATGGTATGCTGAGACACAATAGTGCAGGAATAGAATCTAGAAATATTGACTGGAGACTGATGTCAAGAAGGCCCTTAAAGTGGATCATCACTTTATATTTCCTAAAATAGAATTTTTTTATACTTTGCCAAAAAGTAGATTTTACCATTCTTTTTCAATAATAAAATAAAAAGTATGGGTCACCGTGCTATCAAGCTAAAATTTGTAGAAAATTGTTCAATTTTGCATAGATTATTCCTGAAAAAACACTTTTATGTGATAGAAAGAAATCTATGACGTAGAATTTTGAAATAAAATCTAAGATAGGTTTTATAATATGCTTTTAGAAAATATAAAGAAAAATGGTGTCACCTTACTTGTTTTCTTGCTACAAGTTCATTAATAATTCCCTTATAAAATTTGAACTATAAGAGTTATCTCCCCTTATATGTTTAAGTTTAAAAATTGATTTGAACTAAAACGAATATTTGGTATTTGAATAATGCAATAAATCACATATTTTTCTTTACTTAAATAAATTATCTTACACACGAATTGCCATTATGTCTCTTAATTTGAAGATTTCACCAAAGAACTAGACCGATTGTGTATTGTTTACTTTTTTTACAATCTAAGATGGTGGTACACAGTTAACTGTAATCTGGAACTTTTAAATGTGTTATTAGCTGATTTCATTTCCTCGGTCGATTAATTGTTATTTTCATTATCAACATTGTTCTTTTTAAAATAAACGCGTGATTCCCGTTAATACTGGATTTGAACATCGGTAAACTATTGTCGCCATAATTCATTGATAAACAGTGTTTTGCGAATGCGACGATATAAACAAGGTGACTATTCATTATAACATCACAAGGAAAGAAACCCCTTCCTCCAAAAAAATCAACATAAAGTACGAGTATGACTCCTGACAACGTTCGAGATAAGACAAGTTAAACGAACTGCACTGTGGGAGTAACAAAAAAAAACCTCAAAACATTGGTTACGGAAGTTTTACATACCTTCACGTCGATGCAAGCTTTTAAATCTGCATAGGACACGATTTATCCTCTCGAGACGGGTATCCGTATGGGACATGGAATTTTTATGTTTTGTGAATAATATCAAATCTTACTGATACGCATACAGAAGTAAATCAATCGGCCAAACCATTTTGTGAATTTACAAAATGCACAAAACTGAAAACAATGAATGATTTTTGTAAAAGAGTGAAATCCTTTTTTCATCAAGTAATGGCTGGCACTGTATTTCAATTGAGTATCAATTATAAATCTTCAGTAGTAATGGAAAAGATGTGATATGTAATGCACATGTCATCGCACTAAAAAAAACATAAGAAACGGAGCAGCGATATTATTGCGGTTCGTCATCTTTTTCAGTCACATCGAACCTTCAACACGTTTCAAAATCCAATACTTTGCTAGAAGTTTTAAGACGGCCCTAGCATCAAGGTGTTTGTGCATTTCAAAACACATATTCGATGTTATATCATCACATAATGAACTACAGAGAGCCATAAAATAAAATCACTACTGCCATAATGTGCCCGGCAATTTCATTGTAAATACAGTAACAATACTCCCGAAATCCTCTTTGTATGTATCTTCATCAGGACGCTCAAACCCAAAAACATTAATCCCAAGAAGTATCTCCCATAGCTGTTTTAACTACATACACATAATTAATTCCGATTCTCCTTTCCACACTAACAAAAACTAATTGTAACAAACAAAAAATAAATACAGCTTAGATCGACAATCAAATATAACTAGAGCAATTCACAATTGTCTAAATATATAGAAATTATTCTTTAGTGTGTATTAACATTAACGGTACCAATTTTTCTGCACCAAATGCGCATTCTTCAGTGACTGTGTGTAATTATTCCTTACCTTCAGTAACAATAAAAAGTAACATGCCAGCGAGGAGTAGAATTGCCAACCGAGACATCTGACAGGTTAAACACTTATATCTAAAGATATAAGACACTGTTTGTATGATATCACCTTCTAAAGAAACAATCTTTTTAAGTTCTGAAGCTATATCCAATTTCATTTATAAATATGAAACACATATGTTGCAGAGTTCATTGGGAAGATGATATGTGTCAAACTAAAAAAAGGATTATAATTTCAATACATAATATTAATTCACTATACATACAGTCGAGGACGTGTATGAATTATTTAATTACTTTTCCACTTCTATTCATATCCACTTCTATTCATATACTTTATACTGGAAATAATACTACATTGATAGAAATCATTGTTGTCAGATAACTTAGTAGGGAGATAATTTGGTATATGAATTGTACTTTTTCTCCTCACCTTTATTTCGTATAGGGCAATGTCCGTAGTCCTCTTTGTCGGGCCACAGCTTCTGTCATTGTGCTTAAAATAGTTTGTTACATCGACGAAAGACATAGTATTTGTAAGCCGTTGATTTTCCATTGCTCAGAAGGAGAATACCTAACGACGGTACAGTTTTCTTGAACTAATGTTTGTCGATATTCGAATTCTTGGATTAGTCTTTCCATATTTATCTTCACAAAAACATTATTTGTTATTAACCATGAATGAAAAGAAGCTAGCATTATCCTTTAACTTAACGTTCCGCTATAAAGGTGATGTCCTCCCACTAAATGATTCAAAGATTGGCGACTACTAATATGTTGAACCCATCTATCCCATCGAACGCGAGATAAAGGATAAAACAAATACAGTTAAGTCTGCCTCATATCTTGACTTACATCCAGAATTTGATCAAATATTTACGACAAAAGAGATGATTTCAGCTTCCCAATTGTGCAATTGAAGCAACATTCCAGCAGAGCCTGCAAATGGAGTATATACCCAGTTACGATACTAGTATTTCAGAGCTTGAATTTTTTTTCATGATTTCCTTGATAGAGGGTTGCTGCTTATAATAAAGCTATTAAACCAAGAGTTCCAAGTGGTTAAGTTGCAATCATCCCTTCGAAAATGCATTGGTATTGGTCATTTCTTTCCACTAAAAGTAAGTAACATTCTGCATCTGTACTTCGAAGGTACCAAATCTGTTTTTAGTTGACATAGATCGAAACAATATCTGTAGTCCAAGAAAGTCGGTAAAAATCCTGTGAGAATGTATATCCGACTTGTTCAATTCTCATCAACTTTGATTTAGCTTTTCGACTTTTTTTTTATTCGCCCACTACTGATAATTCTGATATAGAAGAAAAGCGCGTCTGAAGCAACAAGTTATAAGCCTTGTTTCTTTGGTGAGTTTTAAAGTGCGCAAAAACCTGCCGTTTGTTTCCTATCAAGACCATGTATCGAAAAAGTAAACAAAACAGTTCAAAACATGCAAAGTTCGGCTACCAACAGGTAATGACTAACCTGAACAAGGATATAAGAGACAACAAATTAGGGTCAAATGTTCTAGATACTAAAGGAAGCTAGCCTTGTTAGCAACAGCCACAATTGGACACCGTCTCTAATAACTGCTAGAATTATTTCATTGACCGAGGCTAAAGAGTTGAGTTGTCAAAAAAACGTATTTAATCCTGCATCGTTTTACATGATGGTCTTGAAGTATAGATTCTAGGTACTGGCGTTGTTTATCATCTTAATAACGTATTATAGTGTTCTTTTTATTTGTCTTTGTATATTTTTAACCTTTACTGCATTTTTGGTATTATTCCATATTGGTAGTTTAAAGTAGAGTATTCTATATGATTTGGATTTTGAATAAAACAGCATATTCACTTGAGAAAAAAGGATATTCACCGCGCTAAACGTCACATGCTTTCACATGTAACGTTACATGTGCCGCGGTGAATATCCTTGTTTCTTCTGGTACATCAAACGTTATGGTAAAATGTGTGATGTACACGGTAAATATGTGGCTTAATTGACTTTTGAAAAACTGATATTCACTTCGACCATCGGCCTCAGTGAATATAAGTTTTTCAAAAGTAAATAAAACCACATATTTTCATCAAAAGACATTTATTGTATAATATTCTTTTGGCGTGGCTCGGTATTTAATCATCCCGCCATTGTGTTATTGTGTTATTGTATATATATGGTCATTTGTTGTATTCATTTCTTTTAGCTTATTTGACATGTCTATAGAGTGTCTATTTGCCATTTAGTTTTTCTTTGTTGACATAGTTGGGTTTTTTTTTATAGTGATTAAGATCATAACACAATGTTACTGCTTTGCCCCACTTTTTAACATTTTTACCTAGTATGTCTGTTTGTTTTGCTCACACATTGTTGTCAATATAATGGAATTCTATGCGACTGTCATACAAATAAGAGGTTTAGCTAGCTATAACACCAGGTTTAATCCACCATTTTCTACATAAGGAATTGCCTGTACCAAGTCAGGAATATGACAGTTGTTTTCTATTCGTTTGATGTGTTTGAGCTTTTGATTTTGCCATTTGATAAGGGACTTTCCGTTTTGAATTTTCCTTGGATGTCGGGATTTTTTTTTTTTTATATTACACTATTCATATGCCTTTTCAATGTGAGAATATTATCGTCAGTTTCATGTTGAAAATTGTTGTTCCTTAAGGAATCTGGGTTTTTTTGCACAACTTTATTTTAGTTTCGGGCAAATTCGACCTTTACATTTGGTATAGACACTTGTCTTAGGTGAAAACTCTATCTATATTAACTTTTATGTTTCTTTTGATTTTGTTCGTTTTTAACTGCTCGCTTACTGTTAATACCGCCATCTCTTTTCCTATATTTTATTAACACTTAGTATATTAATGAATGTTTCTTTTGTCCGACGTATAATAAAATTTCATGATTTAGAAAATATCAAAAATTTGAATTAAAGTCAAATTTCGACATTTGAAAAGTTAAAATTTGAGTTTAAGTCGAAATTTTAATATTTTAGATGTCAAAATTTCGACTTAAAAAATAAAACGCGCAAAACAAATACATTTTAGTTATGTCCCTAATACGCATCCATATAATTCCATTTTTACTAAACGGAATAACACAGCAACTGAACTCGTTTGTTCTACAAAAGAATATTGAAGAATTTAAAATTGGAAAAAAGTTATATGATTGATCATCAACCAGAGGGCTTAAATTGATAGCAGGTGCACATCACTAAACTCTCTAACTATCTGACAATAAACAATGAAATAGATATGATGTTTTAATTGTTTAAAAACTGTTGAAGATGAAAATCATGTTATTTTACCTTGTCCTGTGTATAATGATCTTTTTATTTGCGGACCAAGATATTATTAATTATGTGCCAAAACCTGCAATTTTATTCTGAAAATACGCCGAGAAATTTTATATTGTAAATAATATCCCAATTATGCTGTATATTTTTATAATTCATGTTTGATTTTTAATGTATAATTATGTTGTTATCGTCGCTCATAAATCTGTACATATTGGCTTATGTATGTATCAAATACACCTTAAGGACGTTAGCCCGAATGTATGTATCAAATTTACAGCAAGATGTTATTGTCAATGCAGAATGATAGATTTCAATAATTTAGGAGGAGGTTTTTTCAGCAATTTGATCATACGATATTGAAAAGCATGATAAATGCAGGATATTCAATTTCATTTAACGACATCTCGGTGTAAATACAAATGTATCTTTCATGATTTTGTTGTATAATTGTATGCATAAGGTGAGACATAAATAAACAAGTGAAACTGTGAGCTACTGCTCACTGATGATACCCCCGCCCAAATATTTCGGTAAACAGGAAGTTGTTGAGTGATGAATCTGAAAACGCATCACACGGTATAGCTGACGCATATAAACCATGAAACCAAAGGAGTAGGTTCAGTAAGACCCCTTTTTGGCCCCAAAATATAACAGTTTTACAAAATTGTTAAAATGTAAACTTTTAGCTATTCATTGGAAAGTAGAATACTTCTGTTACATACGTATGGGCTGTTTTTGATAATACAATGCATATTTATCGGGTACTAGCATCATTAAGTCATGCTAAATTACTGAAATCTTCATAATTTTAGCATTTGAGTTAATTTTTAGACGGTTTCCGTCTTAAATGGACGTGGCCGCATTTGTGTTCATTCTTAATATTTAAATATAAGTTGTATTTGATGATAATACATAGCATATATAAAGGTTGAGGATGAACACGGATGCGGCCACTTTCATTTTTGACAAAAACCATCTGAAAAGTGACATATTATGGCATATTTGATAGATTTATAACATTTAAGCTTGAATATGAGCGTCTTTAATGACTAAATCAGTTCAAATCTTTCACATAAATAAATTGCTTCTACTAAAGTAGACACTTAAGTGTTTAAAAAGTGTCCAAAATCTTTCATCAGATGAACCTGAAATTTGGGGCCAAAATCGGCCCTTACCGGACCTACTCCTTTCAGAAATCCGTGTAATGTAGTTCCTGAGATAAATGTGGCGAAATTCAACTACTTGGATGTCATGTGTAAAATGATGTAAGTGTTCGGTAAACAAGAAGTTGTTGAGTGATGAATCTGAAAACGCATCACACGGTATATCTGACTTAAATAAACCCTGAAACCAAATTTCAGAAATCCTTATGATGTAGTTCCTGAGAAAAATGCGACTAAAAAATATTCATGGGACAGACGGACGAACGGACAGACAGAGGTAAAACAGTATACCCCCACTTTTTTAAAGCGGGGGTATAAATATTGAATTGAATTGAATATCCATTATTTACCTCTTTATTTACACACAGGTTTTTTTATTATCAGCACAATTCATCTGATAACGAGCTCAGTGTTTGTTTTTTCATTGAAAAATATTCAAGATTTTTACCAAATAAAATAACACAGCAACTGAACTTGTATGTTCTACAAAAGAGTATTAAAGAATTGAAAATTGGAAAGAAGTGATATCATCATTAACCAAAGCGCTTAACGTCATAGCAGGTGCACGTCACTAATCTCTCTAACCATCTGACAACAAATAAGGGCCTATTATGTACGGAACGCGCCACAAATGTTACAGTGTTAGCGCTTGAAGAAGATGAATCCAAAAAAGCACTTCGGACGCACGGAATTTGTAAAGTGTTATTTTTCTTTACTTCCACTACTGGTGGACTGTCAGATCCCGAATGTACAAACAGTTCAATAGCGAGTGCTTCGGTATTGACATGATTAAAAAAATACTTTTCTTTATAAATTCCCATCGATAACTGAGGAAACTATCATGAAACTGATGTTCCAACCCACTCTGACTGATGAATTTGGCTATTCTTTTAGATCCATTTTAGTCATATTACTCATAACGGTTCTACGTGTTTATAGAACCTTGGCTTTCAAAGGTAAATGCAGGAAAGCGCTTCGGACGCATGACATATATAATGAATTATTTTCATTATAATAATAATAATGACTTTATAGTAACTCAATAAGCATTCAATAATCTACTTTGAGGCACTCACGAAAAACATACAGAACAAGTACATGTATTACAAATATTACAATTTTTTGAACATACAATTCAACTTTCACGCTAAATGATTGTCTGTAGAACAAGAACAAAAATTATACATTATACATAAACATTAAAAAGTAAAATTACAAAAATACCGAATATAACAAAAAAAAATCCCGACATCCAAGGAAAATTTTAAACGGAAAGTCCCTAAGTAAATGTCAAATTCAAAAGCTCAAACACATCAAACGAATGAATAACAATTGTCACATTCCTGATTTGGTACAGGCATTTTCTTATGTAGAAAATGGTGGATTAAACCTGGTTTTATAGCTAGCTAAACCTCTCACTTGTATGACAGTCGCATAAAAAGTCAAAATCGAGTTAGAGAGTTGTTACATATCATTTATAGTTAAAACATCTACACATTTACTTTAAAAAGTACCAAGATTTTCACATAGTTTTTTTTTCATTTGGTAGTTTCTTCCAAAGTATTGAGGAGCTATATTTTAATGATTTTTCATCGAATTTGTGCTAGGCCTGACGAAGGCTAGATTATTGTTTGCAGAAGATCTTAAATTTCTGCTGTGTAGGTTCATAATCAGATAACATAATCTGTTAAGGTTATTAAGAGCTTTATTATTAAGAATCAATTTATGATAAGTAATCCTATATTTGAATTTTAACCATTTTAGCTCTTTAAATAAATTTACAGTAGGTGTTAGTATTGGTGCATCCAGTATAATTCTGGCAGCTCTTTTCTGCATCTTAACAATTCTTTGAATTCCATCTGCATTACGCTTTCCCCATATTGAGCAACAAAAATCAAATATGAACAGAATATAAGCATTATATGTCCATTTAATATGGCATACACATGTTAGCACCAAACTACATTTTCTGGCAGAATACGAAAACTTTAAAAGAGGACAGTGAGGACAATGTATAGAAGTTAACCTATGTTCAAATGTTGATTTCAGTCGTCCTTTTTCCAGCGAATTAGGACAATGTTAAAATAAAAACCACTGAACCGTTTTCTGACACAATGAAACTACGATGGAAATACTTTCAACTACTTTCTGACGTTTTTTAAAGTCAACTTAATGAGAGGATACGGTAAATGGTTTTCTGGCAATCTTTTGAATCTAAGATGAATAAAGCCTTCAACAAGCATTATGAAACTTTACACATTCTGTAGTTTGCTAGTAATATAGGGCAAACATACGCGAGAAAATAAAGTAGGACGCTTTCTACTAAAATTTCAAACTTCAAGGTAGAAACATAATCAATCATTTTCTTCTTTTAAATTATTCAATTTCGTACAGAAGGAATTTCAATCGAGAATAGCCGTAACGGGAACTACAAAGTATGTGATTAATGGGGGGAAATTGAAGATTGTACTATAAGCATGATCAACTGATGCATGATGGTGGCAACTGTAAGACTAAAGCACCTCATCGTAATTATCTAACTACTGTGTCAATTGTTAATAACTAATGATAAATCAACAGATTAATTTACTTTATTTGGGGATTTGATTCAAAAAGGATATAATACAGTTAAAATGCATTATTATGTAAGCATTACACAGAAAGACATACGAGGAAAAAAACTTTAAAATCTGATAATTGTTTGCCATAATATTTCGTGTCTGAAATACACAACACCGGGACTTAAGTACATAGCAATGGTCATAGATACTGTAGCTTACTGTTACTTACATAATCATCTCTGCATATTGCTAATCGAGTAAAACAGATAACGCGTAAACAAATTTTGCAATTATTTACACATTACAAATCTATACTATCCACAACAACCCAGCTGACCTTTTAGACTTGTAATGATCATAGGTCAACAAATTGCACTAAATGAAACACATTCATTCTCAAAAACGATAGCACAGTCATTTTTCTAACAGCTCACCAATTACTATTGTGTAATGATAATTATATTTGAAACATTTTCTTTGTGGTCTGCCATAACGACTGATCACGTGACAGATGTAGCAACACCCGACACGTGATCCACTAGGGTGTAAGATGTCGTGCCTATGGTTGAAGGCGCTCTGTAACGTCCTTTACTTGTAAAAGTACTTTCCCTGTGAAGAGCCCATTTACGTTTTATAACTGTAATTACCTGAAAGATAGCACAATATATAATTTTAACAACTTTTTTTATACTGCGTATGTTGCGTCAAAGATATACATTGCACATGCATTCTGCATAAATGTAAATATGTGTACGGTTGCTATGTTATTACTGCAGGGTTTTAAATAACATTAGGCGCAACCATGATAGGCATATAACAGTTCTTTAAATTTTGTAAAGTTTTACTTTTCCGCAAAATAGTTATTACGTTTGCTCGAAAAGGACATACTTCTTTCTGCAGTTTATCAGAAATACCTGGTTAGTAACCTATAATTTTTGTTAATGAAAGTATTTCAAGGGTTAACTTGGATATACAAATATGATCCCTTGGACTCTGACATTCGGCTGTAAAATCCATGATAATGGGGACGTCTGTCTAGCTGTGCAGGGTGTTCAAATACAAAGCCACGCCGTGTCGGAAGTGGGATATTAACTCCAAAGCTTTCTTTAGCGTACCAGTATGTGCCAAGTTATATACACATTAAAAAACACATGCAACAATTCTTTGAGGGGTCAGTAGGTGGCCTGTTGCTAGTCAAAATTTCTGCTCTTATCCAAATTGCACTCTTTTCATAGAAAACAGTCCTCAAAGTCGACCCATTTTGCCGATCATACCTATTGTATTAACTGTTAACTAATTCTTGTCCTGAGTAAGCATGAACTATTCGCCACAGGACGTCAAGCAAGCACCAATCAATCAATGTTTAAGGAAAGAAATGCATACACACAGATTATCTGATCATTCAATAAATCCAGACATTGTCTACATGTACATGTGTAACATTTGATTTTTATATTTATTCAGTTCATAGAATAGAGAATGTAAATGGGGAATGTGTCAAAGAGACAACAACCCGAATAAAGAGCAGAACACAGCCCAAGGCAACCAATGGGTCTTCAACGCAACGAGAAAATCCCGCACCCGGAGGCGGGCGCCAGCTGGCCACTAAACTATACTAGTTCAACGGAATGGACGTCACACTAGACTCCGAAACTTCTAAATGAACCAATTTTTAAAAAAAACACACACATACTTACAAAGACTAGAGGTTCCCGACTTGGGATAGGCGCTATATGCGGCGGGGTTCAACATGGTTTGTGAGATCTCAACCCTCCCCATATACCTCTAGCCAATGTAGTCCTATATTCTTAGGATAATTATGCGTATAAAAAAAATCAATAGAGAATTTTGAACAGATATATCATGTTATGGAGGGGTATTTGCGAAAAATACCAGTCAAGGGACGGTGAAATCACCCAAGCCGCTAGGCGAGGGAAATTTTGTCCCAAGACTGGTAAACGTCTACCAACAGTGACATCGTGTTAGGTGTTGTACGATCTCACTAAAGAAACCCGGCTTATAAACTGGCGCACTAGACGCGCGTCAGAATATTTGGATAACGACTAACCGCATATTCATTTGCATTATTTTTTACTACGATTATCACCCTTTTTATGATACGTAGGCAAAAAGGTAGATTTATGAAAAGGCAACTCTCAATCGAAAGCCCAATTATAATTACTCTTATCATATATTCTTCTAGATAAGCATGTCTTGAGTTTGGAATGGTGATTAATTTTAAATATTTATATAGTTTTCATTTTTGTACACATTATGAAAATATTGAAGTTGTTTACAACTCTCTAAAAGTATACATATATATTCATATGGAGAGTTGTCTCATTGGCACTCATACCACATCTTCTTATATCTATTCACCTTCATTACACTTTTTCCTTTAAAATGTTCCTATTTCTTCAGAGCGAAAATAGATGATTCTTCAAATGTGTGATCTGCTTGTTATATTTTTACTTCCTCATCGAAAAAATAATATGGTATACATGAATGAGACTGTAGTTCATATCAAATAGACATCTGTCAACAGTAAACATGTGTCTAAACAGCTCTTATTAAGTCGCTCCGAGTATAAAAAAAGATGCAAATATATTTAACATTAAGATATGTAATCAACTAATCAACACCAATTTACCAACAACAACAAAAAAGATTTGACATAAGACAACCACTAACAAGGTTCCTGAATGTAAATAGGCGTATAAACATGTATCGGGGTCAAAATGTGGGGATTTTTAGATCTTAATTCTCCCCTTTTTTAAATCTCTGCCAGTGTGATTCGGTGTCAAGTGTTAACTCAGGCAGTCTCAATGCCAGAAATTGATGAAAGTTGATGGTCCCCATTATAATCAAAGTACTGAAGTACTGAACACCGGATGACCACAAGTTCTTGAGGATGGTCAAAAGCACTTGTCTCAGAAAAAAAAACAACATATCTCTTTACCTGAAACTGAGGTTAATGTACAGAGATATATTTTTTTCTGAGACAAGTTCGTGCGTGGATGATGAATAAATGACAGGAAATTCATCTTCACCGTAATAACTACATGTATTATATTGTAGTGATACAAGTATACACTGATTTGTTGTTATATATTATATTAAAATAACAGTTACATACATATATGATTTGCATCCATTTGTATATCATTCTATTCTACTATTCTAATAATAGTGCAATGCAAGTGCATGGTGGACACTTTTCTAAGATTGGATACGAGTAGGCATTCATATTTTCCCGCAAAAACAATTACAGAGTTACCGGTCCTTCAAAACGTTCTTTGAGATATTCTTCCGCATGCTTTAACACAATTTTTCGGTACGTGTGCATTGATATTATCAATGATTTTTTACTTATATATATATATATATCTAACTACAAAACATTTTCATATTATTAATTTATGTTGTAAACAAAAATATTTTTATCAGTATTCATTGAAGAGATGTATTTATTTCAAACGATAAGGAATGTTATTTTGCATTCGTTTATGTGCGCATATTTATCATGTTTATAGATCGGTTACAAACCCAAAACTAATTTACATAATGGAAATCTAGGCGATAGCAATACATCGGGATGACCTCAGGGTCATCGCGATGTAAAAATAACATCAAAGTATTGTTAAGACGATATGAATGCCCCACACAAGCATGCATACTAGTTACGCCGCTGTGTTATTATAACATTACGTCGTACTTCTAAACGTTGATGCTTAAAAGTCAAATTTGGTATGTATGCTAATAGAATGAGTAAGATGGTTATTCCATTCATAAACCCCTCCCCGAATTAGAAAAAAAATAATTGTAAGAAATTGTTCTTTGTATAATAATTGTCCTTCAGATATAAATAACTTCATCATAATTCTAGAAGTCCTAGATAAATTATTTGATAAAAACAAATAAAATTTGCAATTCTGTGTCAAAATCATCGTCAACAAATGTTCTTCACAGAGTTTATGAACTGTTATCCTATGTAAACACACATCTGTCTTCAGAGAAAACAAAGTTAAGTTTAAACCAGTGATGGTGTCGAATATTGATAAAATATAATAAATTAACTTACCCGACGAACTTTGAGGGGTAAACTATAATTCAACCATTAATCAAAGGGAGTTATTTCAATAATATCAATATACATCTAAAATAACTCGATTATCCATCATGGTTGGGCATGAAAGGTATATATCCCCCCCATTTCCACTCGACAAAATAAAAAAAATATGCGTTGTACATGTCCAAACTTTAAGTTCTTCGGTCGTTTAGTTAGTTTGTACTGATGAAACATTATCAAATAGTGAATAAAAATAACGAACGAGACAACAGGTTTTAGTATCTCACTGACGTTTTCACAATTATCACTTGCATATTTTGTGGGGGAGGTGTATGTAATGGTTGGGGAGACGTTAAATATCAGTTATAAATAAATTTAAGTGCAAAGAAGTTTTAAAGCATATTTTTCTCTATTCAATATCGCATTGATCAAGATGAATTATTTACCTCTCCATTGCAGAAGCAAAATATGATGGAAACAAACGCCCCCTGAAATATAAAACAATTATAGTTGATTTAACTGTTTTATAATGTTTTGAAAATGTAGCTGTAATATGACATGTATACTTTTATATCGAATACTCAAAACATAAATACGTCTGTTAAAAATCTAAAAGCTAAAATAACACATTTACTGCTATAGTTTGAATGTTTATTCAATTTCAACAGCATAAAGCGTAATACAACTCGAAAAAGGTGATTTCAAAGAATGATTATCTCCTTTCAAGTATCAATTATATAAAATATTAGTCTCTTCGTATCAATAAAAGGAAAAAGAAATGAACAAACATTAAATTGGAAAGGAAGCACCTCTTAATGACAAACAAGTAGCTACTTCATCAATTACTGTCAAAGTCCAAGAAGATAGATCGTAAAGTGGAAACACTTTCTATGCGTTAGTTTAGTTAAGAGCAAGGTTAATTATTTTGTGAAAGCTTCATCACGGGGCTCATTTAGGATTAAGTCTTTTATGAACGTTAATTATCTAAAGTTTTACTGATCAAAATATAATTTGTTACTTTTTCGGGACCTCTAGAAACCTTTTTTGCAGAAGAATTCTATCCGTCAACATTGAGAACAGAAGACTTAGATGTCCGGTTCCCTGTTTGAATGATCCATCTTGACACTGTCAGACATAAATCAATTCGGATAGTCATCAAATAGACCTCAATTATGACCAATCAAACAATGTTTCACGTATTATTTGTTTAATAATTTATAGATGCAATAAAAATATGCCTTCCAGGAAAAATCATAAAAAAACAACATTCGAGTCCTGTACGTAATCGACAATCATTACTAGAAATGATTTTTTCCGTCTTGATTCTCGGTCAGACAAAAGTAACATATCAACAGTGACCTTAAAAAGGTAATATTCACTGAACTTGTGATATCAATAAAAGAAAGCATAATTCTAGTTGCATATTCATCAAATAAACGTTTTGTTTATTCTCACGCTTTTTTTCATTGTAGTTTTTATAGTCTTATTCTGAAAAAAAAAAAACATGTTTGAAAAGGTTTGTCGACAATCAGTTTTCAATGCTAAAACAAGTCTCTGATTTTTTTTTTTTTTTTTTTTTTCGTAAAAATGGGATTTCATGGAAAATATGTAAAATACTTAAATATAAAACAATAATCCTCCCAGAACACTTTATTTCGCTTGATATGTTTGTTTACCATTGCGTTGTCAGTTTTTCTTCCACTATGAGTTTGATATCTCCTAGTATCTTCCACTAGGTAAAAAGTTAAAGAAAATAGGATACAAGTTTGAGTTGTTATTGAGTATGTTTTTATAGTTCACGTTATGACAATCATTCGACAAAACATGTATTTTTTCCTTTACACTTTCGTTTGTCTATGTTAGCTCTCTTTACCATGAACATAGAACTTGTCTTGAGACATGCACATAAAGAATTTATCGGGGATGAATTAGCATGATGGTGAGAGATCACCCCTTCACTAACATGGGATAGCAGTGACACAGTACACCATGACAACAAATTGTAAAAATCAGTTGGAAAAGGCTTTACTCACCGGATCGGCACGGAGCAACAAAAAAAAACTACAAGATGAAAAATAAAAAAGGAACCGATCTAGGAGTACTCTCATTTTCTAAAAGCTAGATCAAAGCCAAATAAATAATGTTTTGGCAGACTTGAATATATTTGAAAGAACAATTGGAGGTCTTTCTACCTTTGTAATCAAATTGTTTATAACTAAAAAATAAAAGAAATGCTTAAAATAAAAATAATAAAAATGATACTCTATACGCAACATTTCAATTAATCACAATGTAATTGTCCGTTTAAATCTGTCGCCTTATAAGTCACTTTGGATATTTTAAGAAAGCTGATTTCACATTAATTCAAAATAAATATGGTTGCTCTTTTATTGAAATGAGGGAGATAATCAGCTTATTCCGATTTCCATAAAATCAAATCTGAGACTAAGGATGACTTACTTTACGTTGGTTCTATAAAGTACGGAGTGGCTCGGTACTTTTCTAGACAAGCGTTAATATTAATTATATAACTTTAAACCTTTCTCTAGTCTAGACAATTGAGAATGGATTTAACAAACTATTAAAGATCTGCTGTCAATACCAAATTCCTAATCCGACAAAGTGCAATGGGATCAGAAAAGTGGTATCAGTAAAGTGTTCGCTCACATAACATTATCAGCCAATACCGAGTGAGGTAGGATAACCAAATTGCTTCCCCTATACAAATACGCGACATGGCACATAGGCGAGAAATAATTTACCTGTAATGATAAATGAAGTGCTACAACTATTAGGTAAACCTCTTCCCAACTAGATCCTTCGACTGGTTTGATAGGGAACAATAAGTACTGTATACCAAGCAATGGAATAAGAATTAATGTTGCTCTTGTGGCTTTTCTGTTTAGTATAAAAACTTAAATAAATGCTAAAATTATATATCTATGAAACGCTCACTTTTATCTTATTACAAATAAACTGCATAAAATGAAATAATAACACAGAAAATTGATCATGAAAGTACTTTTTAAAAACACTAATTGAAATAAACGTAGAAATCATTCACCTTCAATTGCATTAAATAAATTGTAATATGCATACTTATTTTAATAGTTCTCAAATGTTAACGTTTTTGTTTCTCGTATGTGAAATTGTCGGATAATTGTAACTCGTACGAGATATAAAGAGTACAATAATTGAATTATACGTAAAATGAAAACGAGATATTTCTTTGTCTGTTTACTATTGTCTATTTACCTTGTCTGTCCTGCTTCTGGTATCTGTCGTAGTTTTGTTATCAACAATCTCACTATATTGCACAGAAAAATCAAATTCAACTGTAAAATATAAAATGAATCAAAATTTTATTTTCAATAATTACCTTAAAGGAACTGATTATTCACCGATTTGCGACGGCTATAATTATAAAAAATGTCATTCTGGCTTCAGGCTGCTTACATTTCTGTTGCTGGACATAAATAATATCTCAACAAAACTTGGTTTGCAAATGTCCTAAAAGAAAAGTCCAAATCGAAATTTGAGTCAATAGTTCAAAGACACGGTCAAAGTAGAAATTGAAAGACTGATATTTGGACAAATTTTGGTTATCCATTTTCATGGCTTTTGAGATTTTTAAAGATGTAATTCATAAAGAGTGAAAACTATCCTGTTCAAAATCACACTAAATCGATGCCATTAACATTAACATCTCAAAATAGCAATATTATTGTCGACAGTAACACTAAAGTTATAAATCGAACCATTCTTATGTCGTCTGACAGCGTACATCTGTCGCTAGCGACTCATAGGGACTACATAACAAAACACATTGAATACTAGTATTTCAATTTCTGAACTGAATGATAAGGGTATTTCCAATATCAAGTCAGGCAATTTCCAAAATATGCTTAAACCATTTCGAGACAGCAGCCGACACATGCTTCCATGGAAGCCTCACATGATATATATTCTTATTTTCACGCAGCGTTCTGAATTTAGCAACCGTTAAGGTGGACCCTGCATATATTCGGAAACGACTTGTTTCATCATATGGCAAAATCCTATTTCCCTTAGTTGTAGATTCAAAATATAAATTATATCAAATTTGCGCATATTCCAGTCTTTTTCCGTCTTGGATCTAAAACTACCGTGCCTTTGAAAACTTCCTTTGGCGGATATTTACAAATATGTTGTTTAATTTTAAGGAAAAATACTTTTACGAAATTGGAAGGATGTAGTCATCGTGTTTTTAAACAATTTGGCCAAAAAACTTAAAAGAGCAGACAAGATAAAAGTAATGTAACCTGAACATTCAACCTGCAGGGTGTTTCTCTATATGCGAAAAAATCATGAACAATCTCTTCTTGTATCCTTATTTCTATTTTGAATCTTGATTTTTTACGATTTTTCGTTATTTTATATAGCAATTGTACTACGGATACGCTTCCGATTTTCAAAAACTGAAAAGGCCTAAAGATTTTCAAAATGGACAGTGTTCAGTTGTATACGAACAGAAGGCAAAAAACATGTACAATTCACCTATAAGCGGATAAATTGTTGATTCTACTTAGGAATTGGCACATTTGCATTTTTATTTTAGGGGCATGTATACTCCTATTGTAATGGCTGTCCTCATGATAAGGCAATATGGCCGCTATGCAAATTAGCAAAGTATCCCAATTTTGGCATATGATCCTATATAACAGACGAAAATCCGGATGCATGCGTCAGCAATATTTGAGGAGGAAAACCTATAAAAATGAACTAACAGCATATTCCTCTTTTTTTCCCACCTGAATTGTAAATAATACAACATACATTGTGTAACCCAGAAAATTAAATATTTCGACAGGAAAGATAAATCGAAGAGCATAATTTTTCATTTCATCTTGCATACAATCCAAATACTATTTCTGTTGTCATGAATACAGTTTCAATAGGCTTTAAATACATGAAAGACGTAAAATCTTATTACGATTGGTGCCACAAGTGAAGCAGAAACTGTACACCTGCATTAACGGTATCCTGTATAAGATCTTAGCTCAGGTTAACGATATCCTGTATAAAATCTGAGCTCAGGTTAACGATATCCTGTATAAAATCTTAGCTCAGGTTAACGATATCCTGTATAAAATCTTAGGTCAGTTTACGATATCCTGTATAAAATCTTAGCACAGGTTAACTGCATTGTGTATGAAATCTTAGCTAACGTTGACTATATTGTGTATGGAATGTAACTTAATCATGTTAACTATATTGTGTTAAAATCTTAGCTCTCGTTAGCTATATTCTGTATGGAATCTTAATTCAAGTTAATTATATTGTTTAAGGATTCATAACTCGTTTTTAAATACATTGTGTATGGAATCTCAATTCATTTTAACTATATAGTTTAATGAATCTAAGCCAACAGCGATTGTAGACTTATGGATGACATCCAAGCTAAAAGGTTCTGACTTCAATTCTAGTTGGATAAACTATTGACCACCATTTACTGCAGTGTGGATCAAATGTTTGCTAATGTTAAGTCTCTTGTGTATGAAACTTTAGCCAACGTTGATTGTAGACTTATGGATAACATCCTAGCTATAATATTATTACTTCAACTCTAGTGTTGATAAAATCTCGACTAACATTTAGTGCAGTGTGGATCAAATCTAAACTAACGTTATCAGTAGTATGGATATAGTCTTAATCAAATTGGATTAAGACTTACTATGTCTTGTTCCTAAATACTTACAAAAATAGATGCTACCACTGGAGCAAACATTATCCACTGTAATGTACTTTCTTGATTCCAACAACTGTAAGAAGAACATCAATCTACCCTTCAATGTTATAGTAATTAAGATGTGTGATTAATTTTCAATCTAGGTCCGAATCAAAACAAGGATCTATTGACAGATTAGACTAAGGTATAGAGGTTTTTTATTACATTCAATTTGCTTAACACTTTAAAGAAATCTTCAGTTTGGAGAATATTAATTAAAGCTCGTCGTTACTGATGAAAATGACTCAATGCGTTGACTTTATACATAAAATACCCGACTTTGATTTATATCCGAGACTTGTATTTGTACTGTATTTGTTCTTATGTAAAATAATGCAGCATTTCGAAATAACAATAAATAATAAACAGCTGCGCTCATGCGCATGATACGCCCGTCGCTTTTTTAAAGAATAAAGTTCAATAACTTCTCAATGTCATTTCAGAAATTTATGAAAAACTAAAAGGAGGTTATCTTAATAGATATAAACCAGTCACCAAAGTTTCATGAAAACTGCTCAAAGCACTATATTGTCCGAAAACTGGAAAATCACCCCCTTTTTATGAATAAAATCCCATAACTCGGAAACGTAAAATCTAAAAATTTATAAAAATCGAAAGGGAGCTTATGTCAACAGATATAAACAATTCACAAAACTTTCATGAAAACTGCTGAAAGTATTTCTGAGTTATTGTCCGAAAACTGGAAATCCCCCTTTTTAATGAATAAAATCTCATAACTCGGAAACTTAAAATCTAAAATTTATAAAAAAAAGAAAGGGAGCTCTCGTCAATAGATATAAATAATTCACCAAAGTTTCATGCAGATTGATTAAAGTGTTTTTGAGTTATTGTCCGACATGTTGACGACGGACGGACAGGCGGACGGACAGACGGGCAGACGGACGGACGGACGGACAACGGTATACCATAATACGTCCCGTAAACGGGCGTATAAAACATTACAAACTTGTTGTTGTTGGTCTAATTTTTTGTGCATCGAAATCCATTGCTTCCGTATTTAATCATATATGGATTATTTTTTATTTCTTATTTCTTATTTAAACGGACCTGCAAATGGCAACAATTGCTTAACTCCAATTTTGCTTGAAGGAGTCATAATCTCGATGATAATGATCTAGATCTAACAACTATTCGACTAGTGATCCCATAATACTAGGTAACAATCCTTATTAACCATATCTGAGGTGAGATATATATATTTTGGCTTTGGTGAATTTTTCATGCCACATATATGAAATACTGAGGCCACTCTAGTAGAAAAAAACAACCAAGAGACCTTCAGATGATAAAAATGACGCAATAACTTGAAAATTACATTTTTTTACTTTCGTTCGAGCAAAAACGTCTTTTTCAGACTTTAAAGTCTATGGCCTTCGTAGTAATGCAATAGATGTAATTTAGTGTTCTTTTCGTATGTTTTCACCTACTTTCTTTTAAATACTGTAGTAAAATAACCAAAAAATGGTAGCGCTTATACCTACAGTATATTATCATCTTTGCTTGAGGCTCTTACTGCTGTATAAACTCCTACTAACACAAACGGACACACTGAAAATATATACATTGTGTACATTACTTGAGTCTCTTACTGCTGTATAGACTCCTACTAACACAAACGGACACACTGAAAATATATACATTGTGTACATTACTTGAGGCTCTTACTGCTGTATAGACTCCTACTAACACAAACGGACACACTGAAAATATATACATTGTGTACATTACTTGAGGCTCTTACTGCTGTATAGACTCCTACTAACACAAACGGACACACTGAAAATATATACATTGTGTACATTACTTGAGGCTCTTACTGCTGTATAGACTCCTACTAACACAAACGGACACACTGAAAATATATACATTGTGTACATTACTTGAGGCTCTTACTGCTGTATAGACTCCTACTAACACAAACGGACACACTGAAAATATATACATTGTGTACATTACTTGAGGCTCTTACTGCTGTATAGACTCCTACTAACACAAACGGACACACTGAAAATATATACATTGTGTACATTACTTGAGGCTCTTACTGCTGTATAGACTCCTACTAACACAAACGGACACACTGAAAATATATACATTGTGTACATTACTTGAGGCTCTTACTGCTGTATAGACTCCTACTAACACAAACGGACACACTGAAAATATATACATTGTGTACATTACTTGAGGCTCTTACTGCTGTATAGACTCCTACTAACACAAACGGACACACTGAAAATATATACATTGTGTACATTACTTGAGGCTCTTACTGCTGTATAGACTCCTACTAACACAAACGGACACACTGAAAATATATACATTGTGTACATTACTTGAGGCTCTTACTGCTGTATAGACTCCTACTAACACAAACGGACACACTGAAAATATATACATTGTGTACATTACTTGAGGCTCTTACTTCTGTATAGACTCCTACTAACACAAACGGACACACTGAAAATATATACATTGTGTACATTACTTGAGGCTCTTACTTCTGTATAGACTCCTACTAACACAAACGGACACACTGAAAATATATACATTGTGTACATTACTTGAGTCTCTTACTGCTGTATAGACTCCTACTAACACAAACGGACACACTGAAAATATATACATTGTGTACATTACTCGAGTCTCTTACTGCTGTATAGACTCCTACTAACACAAACGGACACACTGAAAATATATACATTGTGTACATTACTCGAGTCTCTTACTGCTGTATAGACTCCTACTAACACAAACGGACACACTGAAAATATATACATTGTGTACATTACTTGAGTCTCTTACTGCTGTATAGACTCCTACTAACACAAACGGACACACTGAAAATATATACATTGTGTACATTACTTGAGTCTCTTACTGCTGTATAGACTCCTACTAACACAAACGGACACACTGAAAATATATACATTGTGTACATTACTTGAGGCTCTTACTGCTGTATAGACTCCTACTAACACAAACGGACACACTGAAAATATATACATTGTGTACATTACTTGAGGCTCTTACTGCTGTATAGACTCCTACTAACACAAACGGACACACTGAAAATATATACATTGTGTACATTACTTGAGGCTCTTACTGCTGTATAGACTCCTACTAACACAAACGGACACACTGAAAATATATACATTGTGTACATTACTTGAGGCTCTTACTGCTGTATAAACTCCTACTAACACAAACGGACACACTGAAAATATATACATTGTGTACATTACTTGAGGCTCTTACTTCTGTATAGACTCCTACTAACACAAACGGACACACTGAAAATATATACATTTTGTAAACTAAAAGGAAATTAATCGGGTTATGTTAATATAGAGATATCGCATACACTTTAAAAAGAACAATCCTTTGGGGAAAATAATATTGGAAATAATTGATTGGAAAATACGAACAGTAGTAACAGAAGGAAGATACAAATCAAAAAGGGTTAGTCGATGAAAGACAGAACGTCAACAAAAGTATCAAATTTAGAGAAAGTTTTTCAATTGTGTTCTTGTCAAGTTGATTTTTGTGGATTGATGCACTAATGACACAAATGTCATACCTTTTTGTTTTGCTTAAAATAATTTTTAAAGTCCTGTTTCTGAAACAGAATGATATTGATCTTAACTTAAAAATTAGAAACCATTCAGCTTTGCTGTTCACATCATTTTGACGTCACCTGAGGAATCTAACATTGCTGCATCGAAGAGATACTCTCCGAACGATGGGTTACGAGTTGGAATATTTTATCCTCTGAGAGACAGCACAAATTAATAATAGAATAAAGGTCATTCTTAAAGAACAAAAATCGTATAATCTGTTATACAAAACAGATGAATTTCTGTAAAACCTAGAAACTTTACGTTAACATATAAATGTTTGTCGAATTCTCTGTGCTTTTGACCTTTAAGTTATAACTTTAAAATTTGTGATAAATAAGGTTCAATGTATTAAGGTAATTTGATTCAGTAATCAACTTTCAGCAAGAAGCACATTAAAAAGAAAGATATTAATTTGTAGTATATACGTTAAGTACTGAACACATATTTCCCTGTGGATCATCAGATCACGGATGTGTCAAGCTTATTCAATTGATTATAGTAGAAATTAACCCTAAATGCATTTAATGCACATTTCACAGTCAAAAATACAGAATTCTAACTGGAAATTGCTCCTTAATGAACCAGATCTATTTGTAACACGCAAAAGATACTTTGTCACATTTTATAGAGTTCATTTTAAAAAGTTTTTAATGTCATTTGACTTGTGGTACACGATCACTTGCTAGACGTTGTGGATAAAATGTGCAATGAATTCAAAACCACGTAACGTTATCTATTAAACTTAAAAATTATTAGATGCATGATTTATACTAGATATAAATAAGAGTAGCAAACATCTATCATGTATTAAAAGTTAATTGATTTTCGAACAGTGTGCTTCTAGTATTATAAATGATGACTTTGTGAAACCATGAACTTTCATTTACAAATGTACTAATGGCGTGTTCAAAGATGTAGCTTTTTAGAATTAAAACACTGTAGCAAATTTAAGTGAAGTCATGAAAACAATTGATGGATGTCCAATAAATGAAACAAATTGCCCCTAAACGCCCGTTTTTTTAAAACTACACAAGTCTTAAAAAGTCTTAGTTCTATATACTTTTGTGATATATATCAATATAGTTTCGCATGCTATATCTTTACGAACATGATAAAATGTTGTAACTAACTATATTTACAAGAAAATAATGATCAAAAATTACAGAAGGTGCAATGTATTTGTAGAAGAAGAAATAGATGTTAAGTTAGATTAAACTGTTTTGGTTTGACGGCAAAGGCTGTAAATATGTTAATTTCATGTTAGAATGAAAACAAATTTCAGTCTTAATGACATGATCAAAGACGCCTCAACCCATCCATACCACTACAAAAGCGCGTATTAGAGTGTCAAGTGTTAACAAGTCACGATACCCATGACAAATTGTGAATTAAATATTAATACAAATAAAAGGGAATTATTGTACAAGGATGTTGTTACAAAGTCTACCAAGCAAAGTACCCTAAGTTTCCCATAAATGTATACCCTTGGAGGGATTTCAATCATTTTCAAGATATGTGAACATTTTCAATGTGCAAGGATTGGGGATTACCCTGGGAGATCACATTATATTTTATTCGAATTGCTGTCAGATACAACCTTTCTCTGAGATAATTCATATCTTTTACGGTTTGTTTTTAGTAATTGAAACATAATGTTCAATGTCACAGGTCAAGGTCAAAAGGTCACTATTAACTGTAGACCCTTAAATAGGTCATATTGTCTCATGATCATTATTGAAGATACCATGTCCCTTTTTTCTAAATACAATTTTAAACATCTACATATGAAAGGGAAAATTCCTGTACAGTTTCAAAGTAATCGTCACAAGGTATTGTCTACAACAAAATATTTAAAAGAAATAAAAAAAATCCCATTTTCCACTTTCCATGGTAGCAGCAGCATTTTGAAAATTTTTAAAGTGAAACTGCACATATACATATGGTGGTTATTATTTTGAAGAAGTGTCGTCAAAATTGCACCAATAATCTCTGAGAAATGATCGAACAAAAATGTTTGAAGAAGGATAACAATTAGAATTGCAATTGTAAGCAATCTCGAATGATACCCCGAACTTACAGCTTGCAAGGTCACGGTGGCAAATTTTGAAACCTTCAATCAGTACGTGTACATATATGATGGCAGCACACAAAATTATGTAAAGTTTCAATAAGTTTTTTCACATGTTTAATATTTTATGGAAACGGTGAACATTTCGAAATATTTCAAAATCTATTTCACATCTTAACATTACAAGAGTTTCATTGGCTTTTATCTTTTAATCGTTAAGACCATACTCCTACTTTAATGTGTTTCCAATAGGGTTTTTAAAATGCTCACACGTTTGCAGTTTTCATGTTAACTACTGTCATTTTGCAAAATCCGAAGTAAGGTGCACATCTACACATGGTGGTCATTACCATCGTAAAGTTTCATCATGCAAAATCATTGAATACTTAATTAGGAGACCTGATTTTTTGTGTCGCTTCTCTGTCTTTCAGACCAAATGAATCAATATGGCTCGCTACCCTAATGGTAGTATACAAACTGTAGATTGTTATTCTCTCTTATGGATATTCGTTTTGGTTTAGTTTTGGGGGAATAGTTCGGAACACACAGTGATTTCCAAATTTCCTTTCCATCATTACCATCGGTTTCGGGAAAAAAAATAAAAGATGTGGTAAAATTACCAACAGAGACCAAATGATAATGAAATTAACAACTATAGGTCACCGTACGGCCTTCAACAATGAGCAAACCCCATACACACAGTAAGCTATAAAAGGCCCCGAAATGTCAAATGTTAAACAATTCAAACGAGAAAGCTAACAGCCTAATTTATGTACGATACAATAAATGAAAAACAAATATGATATACAATGTACAGCAACAGACGACAACCACTGAATTACAGGCTCCTGGTTATGCCTACTACTTCCTTTCTTTTTTTTTAAATTAAATATGTTTTCTGGTTCTTATTGTAAACACAGTTACAAATTGTATTGAGAACATTGATAACAGTACCTTTTGTTCATTATGAATGATCATTCTTTTAATTTTAATCATTGCCAATTAACATCAGTTTTAGCTTTTTGTTGTTGTGTATATTTCAAAATAAAATTATGTGTGCACTGGTATGTAGAAATAATATTGTATATATATCAAGATTTATCTATAATTGATACCAACTTCTAAAGTACAATCATTTAACAGTTAGACGAACTATATTGTTTTGGTTCTTTTTATTTCTTGACGCCTCATTTTTAACATACAAAAATACTGATTTGGCTTACAACGAACAAGAATCAATCTCTTTCTGAACCTTTCTAGCTTTGAACATACTGTAAGATGTGCCGTCAAAGAATATAACCATCAACGAGGTTCCTAACATGAGACAGACACATGAATATATGTTTAACTAATTTTATGATTACAAGCATTCACTTTTCAATTTCAATATACTAACAAAACATACATAAAAGAACAAACAATATTTACACTTGGTCCATTGGAAGGTTGCTGATGATAATTTTAGTCTGGGAAAACATGATTTGTTTATTAATGGTAAGTGGCTTTGGGGTAGCTTTCGGTTATTGCGAATGTTCTTGAATCGATTATTTGTGTCATTCTTTGGTCTTCTGGTTATACTTTTGTGCTTCGTAGCAATTTGATGAATCGAACCATTTCAACTATCCCGAGCCAATAGCCTGTCAGTCACTGGTTGTCGTTGGTTGCTGTCTGCTGTGGGTTTTATTTTTCGTTTGTAATTGTAACATGGATCGAGTCGTTGCATTTCTCATTTAAATTGTGTCGCACTACGTCATACCGGGACCTTTTGTAACTTACAGTGCGGTATGGACTTTTGCTCATTGTTGAAGGTCGTATGATGACCTATGGCTGTTACCCCAACCCCCATCGTCATTTATCCTCTTGTTGATAGTTGTCCTGATTGGCATTCAAACAACATTTTATTTTTTATAGTAATTCTGTACAGAAAAATCGCTTATATCTAAAATAAAATATAAGTTTATAAAAAAAGAACAAAAATAACAATAATAAACAATAATTTATTGTATCAAAGAAAAGTTATTTTAGTTGCTTGAAGCAATACTCAGAGTACTTAAACTATTGATATGATCATCCCGCCTTAATAAAAACCTGTTGTATGTGCCATTTTACTTGACCAGTTTGCATGTCGCGAACGACAGGTTATTGTCTACTCAAAAAGTACCTTTAAAGAATAGCAATAGCCGTGGAATATCAAATTCAGGGAGTTCGAAAATTATTTTAATAATTTTTTTAATATACATTGTACATCATGTCAGTTACGATTTCAGAGGAACCATTTAAAGACTTACCCCAGCCTATAACGGTACAGACAATAATGAGCCATTTTCCCGTAGTAAACGTTTTCACCATTATAGTGTGAAGATAAACACCTTCACAGAACATCCAGGCAAAATTACACACAACACAATATTGTGTAATAACGTGAAGCACAACACACCAAATCTGAAAAAAAACATCTGATATCCTCACGGAAGAAATTGATATATTAAAAAAAAAATAACGAACAAATGGTTTACTAAATATGGTATTCTCTATGATATGTCTTTTATTACATCTGTTGTTTGGTTGTTGCCACGATCCCTTTGACCCTATAACCCTATATATCGTAACGATCAACCAGTTCATGACGGCGTTCTTAAAACTTTCGAAACTTCAGCTTTACCTTCAAGAAATCATTTTGACTGAAATATTGATGAACAATGTCATTATCATTAATGTCTGGTCTAGGATTTAACTTTATATTGATTTGTCCGACTTTCGTTTTTGTCTGCATATTCCAAGCCCGCAAAGGTTACCATATAACCCTTACACAATATCAGCCGTTACAATTATGGTCATTTCTTAATTCTTTGTGAAGTAAAATTGTCATTTATTTAATATGACAATTAGTATCCCTAGTCAAAATATCACAAGTTCTGGTGTTTTCGGTTTTAATATTAGGGTTAATATAATGTTGTCCAAAATCAATAAAGTGTAGAATACCCTGTTTCTGCAATAACAAGGTCACGTGAGAGAATGATAAAATTGAGAATGGAAATGGGGAATGTGTCAAAGAGACAACAACCCGACCATAGAACAGACAACAGCAGAAGGTCACCAACAGGTCTTCAATGCAGCGAGAAATTCCCGCAACCGGAGGCGTCCTTCAGCTGGCCCCTAAACAAATATATATATACTAGTTCAGTGATAATGAACGCCATACTAAACTCCAAATTGTACACAAGAAACTAAAATTAAAAATAATACAAGACTAACAAAGGCTAGAGGCTCCTGACTCTGTTTCGGATTTTTATCTTATTGTGAAAGATTCGAGTTGTTTGTCGTATCTTGGTATAAGGACAGAGTGGAGTGATGCCCAATTCAGGCCTTTTCTGTATTAGACGACGTCAAAACCGATATTCCTGTTGATTTTCTTAATTTCATACATTCATATGTCACTTATCAGAACTGATGATGCCAGATACTTCCTTTCGAAATGGGAACATTAATTCCAATGCCTTTTGTGTGGAGTGTCCTCGTAGACTACTTTTGTTCTCGTTCTGAATATGTATGACTTGCGATGAGTATTCTAAAAACACATTTGACAGGTGATGAGTATTCTAAAAACACACATTTGACAGGTATTGGGTATTTTAGCAACTCTTGACAGGTGATGGGTATTCTTGTAACACTTGCCCGGTGATGGGCATTCTAGCAATACAATTGACAGGTATTGGGTTTTCTAGCAACAATTGACAGGTGATGGGTATTCTAGCAACACTTGACAGGTGATTGGTATTCTGGCAACACTTGACAGGTGATTGGTATTCTAGCAACACAATTGACAGGAGTTGGGTTTACCAGCAAAAATTGGCGGGTATTGATTTTTCTAGCAAAAATTTACAGGTGATTGGTATTCTAGTAACACTTGAAAGGAAATGGGTATTCTAGCAAGACTTGACAGGTGATTGGTATTCTAGCAACACTTGACAGGAAATGGGTATTCTAGCAACACTTGAAAGGCGATGGATAATCTAGATACCAATTGACAGGTGCTATGTATTTTAAAAACATATTTGACAGGTGATGGGATTTGATAAGTGTTCTGTTCTCTAAAAATAGAAAAACATGTGTCGTTCTCACAGACATTGGAATCATATGTTTGGTTTACTAATCAGGATCAGAAACGCGTTTTATTTTCCTGTTAAGGGAATTGAAACTCACATTACTAAAAATCATTAATGGGCCTACAATTCGAGTTTTTTTTTATATATTAATCAACACTATACACAGATATTGATAAAAGATTTGATTAAATAATATAAAGTCACATTTGATAAACATTGATAGGCCTCATGGGAATTCTAACAGAATTTGACGGTAACCTTACTACAGAAGGATCATTAGATGACCCAATAAATTGTGTTTTATAGGAGTTGGACCACTATTGATTTTCCTCTTTCTTTCTATATCAAAATAAAGTTTTAACGTTTTGTACAAAAAGCAAGAAACAAATCTTGAACTCTTTGTTTATAAAATTTATGCAATTCTGTTATACATTTGCCAATTTTAGTGCATTGTGTTGAGTTTTTATTAATGGTAAAGATTATGTTTGCCGCTTTGTAATTCTTTTTTATTGAAACTTTTGTAGATCTTATATTTGATGAGAATTTAACTGTTTACAGTTTCAACCTAGCTATTAAAGTTTTCGAGATAATTGACAAAATTGTAAAACATAGTTAACGAATAGTCATTTAAAGCCGATAGATCTTTTATGGCGCCTGACGATTAGGTCATGTTGACTCACTTGTACATCCTATCTTGCTGAAATTGTTAGCTTTCAAAAGTTTTTACGTATCTACTATAGTTTATATAGAAAAATGCAAAAAAGAAAAAAAAATGGTAAAATCATCACCCAGGGGCAATAACTCCTATAAATTGCCAGTTGACAGTTTCAGCTCTGTTGACATCACCCTGCGTTATAATCAATACATTAACTTGTATAAATACCGGCTGATCACTGAGTACATCACCATTCATTATAACCAATACATTAATTTGTATACATAACGGCTGATCATGGAGTACATCACCATTCATTATAACCAATACATTAATTTGTATACATAACGGCTGATCATGGAGTACATCACCATTCATTATAACAAATACATTAATTTGTATACATACCGGCTGATCATGGAGTACATCACCATTCATTATAACCAATACATTAATTTGTATACATACTGGCTGATTATGGAATACATCACCATTCATTATAACCAATACATTAATTTGTATACATACCGGCTGATCATGGAGTACATCACCATTCATTATAACCAATACATTAATTTGTATACATAACGGCTGATCATTGAGTACATCACCATTCATTATAACCAATACGTTAATTTGTATACATACCGGCTGATCATGGAATACATCACCATTCATTATAACCAAGACATTAATTTGTTCACATACCGGCTGATCATGGAGTAATTCACCATTCATTATAACCAATATATTATACAGGATATACATACCGGCTGATCATGGAGTACATCACCATTCATTATAACCAATACATTAATTTGTATACATACCGGTTGATCATGGAGTACATCACCATTCATTATAACCAATACATTATACAGGATATACATAATAGCAGTCAGTAAATAAGAAATGAACAGGTTTTTATGCAGGGTTATTCTGTCACAACGTAGTTGTCTGAAACGAAAATAAAAGACATAAGATATCAAGGGAACAATTAAAAATCAATACCCGAAATAAAACAGTCAATACCAGAGCAAAAAAAAACAGTTTACAAAACAGTACACATGAAATTAAAGACAGGTTAACACGAACCTCAGTGATTTTAAAATATTGTTTCTGTTGTAGTGACTTTGCAGTCAGTTTTTGTTTCATATTTTACTAAATTCAAGTGTGACATATTTTCCTTTGTTAAGAAACGTAATTTCTAATTCCCTTTGAAGACACAACCAGCCAATTTGCTAGCCTATTATTACACAAGTGTTTTAAATAATTTGTAAAAAATAACAAGAAAATCTGCTGATTATGAATGGAATAAAAATAACACTATATAAGTTTGGTACGTCTGAAGCTAATGTTTAAACCCAAAGATTCAAACCAAAGGATGTTTAAATAGTCTTGACAAATAAACTTAAACCATTAAGATATTGCATTATACTTTTACTGAAACCATTAAGATATTGCATTATACTTTTACTGAAACCATTAAGATATTGCATTATACATTTACTGAAGCCATTAAGATATTGCATTATACTTTTATTGAAACCATTAAGATATTGCATTATACATTTACTGAAACCATTAAGATATTGCATTATACTTTTACAGTAGTAATCGTTTCTTTTTCTCATATCCCAATTAGATTAATTTAAGCTGTAACCAAATTTAGAAAGCAGTTCATTAAATTATTGCCCATCTTCTTCAACTCATTACGGTACTCCATCTTAATAAGATGTCATAAAGAGGATGGCTTGCTAATTGTTTTTGTTGAGTTGATTTCCATTTTATGTGACATTTAGTATGAGGAGACATCTATACTGATGAAAAAGATAATTAACAGGCTAATTGATTCCTAGATAATTAGAAATAATACAACTTGGAATCTTTGGTACCTACGGAGATTAAGGTCAACACAAGTGACTATTATTCAAGAAATTAAAAATAAATAGGCAGATCAAATGAAAATGATGGGAAATTGTAAAATGAAAACCAGCAACAAGGGATAGAAAAAATGATTTTTGTGATCACGTAGAATCATTAGGAGACAATCACATCTATCTTCTACTTTTTAACGTCTATTTGACAGTGGAAACAACATATGTATTGGTAACTTGCAAATGGATGAGGGACATGTGATGGAAAAGTCAAACGTCTTGATATGTTTTATATAAACACGCTTTCTGTTACTAGTAATTTAAAGCATTCAAATAAATTCTCTTTGATTTGTTTTTACATGCTTTCAGAGTCCAACAATCATTGCTGCAAGCCCATTTGTTTATTATAATATTTACACAGTAAACAATTATAGGTAGCAATAACGGAGGGAAGGGGGCACGTGGCAACTTGAATAAAATGAAGTATCGAAGAAATATATAATACTTTAGACTTGTTATGGTTATGTTAGGTTGAATCCGTAATTTCTATTCATTTGTCGTTACTACTTATGATACCACTATGGCATCAATTAACTGACCGAAAGTACAAAATCTAGTTCCTTTAATGTGCTATCTTGGATAGTCGTTTTGTGCATGCTTGACCGGGTTTCATCAGAATATAACTGACCCATTTTAGTTATGGAATTGCTAATTAAAAGGTAAAAGTGTTATTTGGAAACGTCTTTATTAAAACGTCCAATTATGAAACAAATATTCTTACATTTCATAAATGAATGATTTCTTAGCGGTCTGTACTCTGAAGTTTGATGTAATTATGTAACATATGACATTCAGATTGCTTTCCTACAGATCTGAATTCCAACAACAAGTATATACATAAAATTGAAATGTTCTGGTTTTTCGTCAGAGTTCATTGCTGTTGTGTTTTGTGTTTTCATTATGTAATTTGTTCTCTTTACTGAGTTGTTATGATGTTTTACGGCATTAAGATATGTTCTCATACTGAGTTGTTAGGATGTTTAACGGCATTGATATTTGTTCTCATACTGAATTGTTAGGATGTTTCACAGCAGAGACGTTTGTCATCTTTCCTGTGTTGTTTGGATGTGTCACAACATAGAGATTATTCTCTTAACTGAGTTGTTTTGATGATTCACGGCAGAGAAGTTTTTTATCTTTACGGAGTTGTTTTGATGTTTCACAGCAGAGATTTGGTCTCTTCACTGTAGTGTTTGGATGTTTCACATCAAAACGATTTTGTTTCTTAGCTGGGTTGCTTGGATGTTTCACAGAGAAAGGTTCTGCTTCTTAACTGAGCTGTCTGAATGTTTCACAGCAGAGAGGTGTGTTTTCTTCATTGAGTTGTTTTTGGTGTTTCACAACAGCGAGGTTTGTTCTCTTAACTGAGCTGTTTGGATGATGAATGAACAGACAGATGTCAATACATTATATCCAGCTATAAAATGACTGTTGTTTAAGAGGTTTTTGAATAAATTAAACAGAAGCTATCTTAAATCTGCTTTCAATACAAAACTATCCAAATATGAAAAAAAAAACAAAGTTATGATTAACAGAATTGAGAATGGAAACGGGGAATATGTCAGAGAGACAAAAACCCGACCAAAGAGCAGAAAACAGCCGAAGGCCACAATGGGTCTTCAACGCAGCGAGAAAATCCCGCGACCGGAGACGGGCTTCAGCTGGCCCCTAAACCACTGACGTGTTTCCTGATTTGATTAGATTTATACATATTTTGCTTTTTTAAGGATATAGGGGGTCCTTGAATGAAAAATATTGTTCTGAGGCTTAGGTTATATAAAATATTTATATCATAGGACTACTTGCCTGAATTTGAAAAATATAAACAATGATATCACCAACAAGGTAATAGATATAGAGAATCCAACCAGTGATATGTATATATGACGAAAAGCATTCAACACTTCTTTGTTCATATCCTGCAATAAAAGAAAAAAAAATTCTCAATATAGAACATATCTATATAAAAAGTATACGTTTCCGAATTCTATTGTATGAAAATGTGTCTTTATACAAATGTTATGCTGATCATGGTTCATCATTGGTAACTGTCAAATTGAAGTGCAGATACACTATAATTCATTTAATTGGATTTTTTAATAGCAACAAAATATATATGGTGAATGAATATAAAATAAGTGTTTAAAAGAAATGTCTAGATTTCAGTACTTTTAATCAAATCTTCTAGTGCTACCAATCTTTTTGTTTTTGTTTATAAAGTTACAGCTATTTTATGTATAACCATGCTTCATATTTGTTTTTCGTTCATTGTTTTGTACATAAATTAGGCCGTTAGTTTTCTCGTTTGAATTGTTTTATATTTGTCATTTCTGAGCCTATGCGGTATGGGCTTTGCTCATTGTTAAAGGCTGTACGGTGACCTATAATTGTAAATTTCTGTTTCATTTGGTCTATTGTGGAGAGTTGTCTCATTGGCAATAATACCACACTTCTTTTTATATTTAACTGAAAGCAGTCAAATATTATTGAATAAGGTGAATTATTAAAATACGACATTAAGCTATACAACGATAGATATCTAATAAAATAATTATTGTATTATTTAATGTTAAACTTTGATAACAATTTGATAATATAGTAACAGATTGTCTGAAATTTCATTCCTAAAATCGAACGAAAATCATTCCTAAGTAAGCGAGTAATTACATGTATTAGTATTGAGACAAACTGCCTCTATTTCTCTGGTCATTCAACATTCCATATAATTACATGTATTAGTATTGAGACAAATCTCCTCTACTTCTTTGGTCATTCGACATTTCATATAATTACGGGTATTAGTATTGAGACAAACCTCCTACATTTTTCTGGTCGATCGACATTCCATATAATTACATGTATTAGTATTGAGACAAACCTCCTCTCTATCTTTGGTCATTCGACATTCCATATAATTACATGTATTAGTACTGAGACAAACCTCCTCTCTTTCTTTGGTCATTCGACATTCCATATAATTACATGTATTAGTATTCAGACAAACCTTCTCTATTTCTCAGGTCGTTCGACATTCCATATAATAACATGTATTAGTATTGAGACAAACCTTCTCTATTTCTCTTGTTATTCGACACAAACCTATTTCTCTGGTCGTTCGATATCCCATATAATTACATGTATTAGTATCGAGACAAACCTCCTCTATTTCTCTGATCATTCAACATTCCATTTAACTACATGTATTACTATTGAGACAAACCTCCTCTCGTTCTTTGGTCATTCGACATTCCATATAATTACATGTATTAGTATTGAGACAAACCTCCTCTATTTCTTTGGTCATTCGACATTCCATATAATTACATGTATTAGTACTGAGACAAACCTCCTCTCTTTCTTTGGTCATTCGACATTCCATATAATTACATGTATTAGTATTCAGACAAACCTCCTCTATTTCTCAGGTCGTTCGACATTCCATATAATAACATGTATTAGTATTGAGACAAACCTTCTCTATTTCTCTGATCATTCAACATTCCATTTAACTACATGTATTACTATTGAGACAAACCTCCTCTCTTTCTTTGGTCATTCGACATTCCATATAATTACATGTATTAGTATTGAGACAAACCTCCTCTATTTCTTTGGTCATTCGACATTCCATATAGTTAGCACGTTCCCATGTACCATTTTCTGAACAATTTTTATGTGCTATTTCTGTAAATAAAAAAAAAAGGAAATAAAACAACACCTTATAAATTCCATGCGTCCGAAGCGCTTTTCAGGAATTACCTTCATCAGGAACGCTCAAATAAAATTGAGAATGGAAATGGAGAATGTGTCAAAGAGACAACAACCCGACGGAAGAGTAAAAAGGACCTAGAAAAATAGCATATAACGTATAAAAAAAACAATCACACACAATTCATCGAGTAGGGTCACGAACAAGCAATAACAAACATTAACAGCACTTTCCTAATTCTAATTCAATTTCATAAATACTATAGACGTAAATAATTGTGTATATGAAATATCCTATGACTGTCAGGAAAGCAGATTTGTTAAATCACATTTATCGTCTGTTGTGCATCTACTGTTAAACAAGTATCCTTGTATCATTGTATGACAAATAACTTTATTTTTCTGTACCTTTTGTGTTAAAGCCTGGAAGAGAAGGGCATTGTTTAATCATTACTGTCCCCGCTTTCGTAAAATTCCAACAGCCGAGGAAGTCCGATGTAGTATTACAATATAGATCTCCTGAAAATATAAAACAGAATCAAGTTTCTTCATATACTGTGGATTCATTATTATTCGTTGGATACCAATTTTCGTGGGTTTCGTGGGTACAGGTGAACCACGAATTCAAATGTTCAATGAATTACAAATGTTAATTTGGCTTTGTATGCAGAGATTGGCAAAACCACGAAATCAAATATCCACGAAAATGCAAGTGTTCCTCAATCCACGAAAATTGATACCCACGAAAATAAATGAATCCACAGTATATATATATAAGATTTAATTGTGTTATACTATTGCATGTTGTCTATGGATGGTTTGCTTCAATTCCTGAATTTTGCCTTAAAGTCTGCCTTTCTTTGAAAGATTTTTTGCAGATTTTCTTAGTGGTTTTTCTCTTCTTTTTTTTACCTTTTCAAACAACCAGAAAAAAAATTCAAGAAATACAAAGGCATGTAATCTATTTAATAACATATTCCTCTTTTTCTTTTAAATGGTGATACTAAGGTGGTAAGAACAATTACCTTTCAAATGAACAAGTTTCAATGAGGGATCATAATGACACAAAATCTCATGACTCTAGCTAACTTTTTTGTAATTATGAAAATTAAAAAAAAAGTCTAACGAAGAAGACCTGCATTAGGGGTCATCGCGTTCTTCTTTGCTGTGTTAGTTTATGAATAGTGTAAGTGCTGTTCTGTAAAGTGTGGGGAAGATGGACTGGAAATACAGATTGCCACTTCAAACATACATACAGTATTCCGAGTAGTTATTGAAATGTTGCCTTGCGAAAGGTCACCTAATAACGCCCCAAAGAACAATGGTAAGGATTCTTTCAAGGAAAGAGAGCAAGACACTTTTTTTCAACCAATTCAGGTTTCAAATTTGATTTTTGTTTAGGGTTCTTATATCACTAATTTCAAGTTTTAAATATAGACTAGAAAGAAGGGATGGCTAATGTGACGATGGTTCAAATCCAGTTTAGGGCCCAAAAGCTATGTAAGAACATGTTATGAAAGTTTAAAGTCACATCAATAATTAGCGCATAAGATCATCTGACAACATAAAATTGGACGTACTTTAACTGTTGAATTCTTACACTATTCAAAACCACTTTTGATACCTCTTCGAAGGGACCGGTTTATATACATATTACTTTTACATAAACGTCTTATTTATCAATACCACAAGCCTTCGTCTATATTGTCCAGGCTTCAAAATACTAAATGCACATTTGTTTCTGTTTTCTGATTTTAGGAAACACAAGATATAAATGCAGCACCTAATCTTTTATTGGCATACATGTATATGGACAGGATCGAATCACGTTATTTTGACATATATGGACAGGATCAAATCACGTTATTGAATTCTGTACTGTTTTTTTTTTTAATTCTGCTTCTCTTTTTATAAATGTTGACTGTTATGAAAAACTCTTAAGGCTACTGGCTCTGACATAACCATTCACACAAACTAAAACAAATTGTCATTCATTGATACCGACCGGAAGTTGAAACGAACATGACCTTAACCTTGACTTCTGGTTGTCAGCTTCACTCATATTCAGATAATTAATTTGCTTCTGGTCAGTGTGTAAGCAATAAAGACTTCCCGCATTGACATGGTCATTACAAATAGTTGGTATTAGTTTATTACCCGACACTGCATCTAACGATAACCTTAATTCATACCGACAGTAATTGAAACAAACATACTGAAGAGATAATAGAAGTACGAAATACATCTATTCTTCATGAAAATAGATAAATTAGTAAATACAATCAATTTTGATAAACAATAAAAAATTAAGGTTTCACTATCTTTTCAAAATGTTTCAATATGTTGCAAAGGTCATCTTTATGTGAAAAGCTTTTAGATAACAACATTTAATCACATATAATTTAGAGTATGGACAATGTAAGTAGTGTTTCTCGTTTCTCGTTTTTTATATAGATTAGTCCGTTGGTTTTCCCGTTTGAATGGTTTTACACTAGTAATTTTTTGGGTCCCTTTATAGCTTACTGTTCGGTATGAGCCAGGGCTCCGTGTTGAAGACCGTACTGTGACCTATAATGGTTTACTTTTATAAATTTTTACTTGGATGGAGAGTTGTCTCATTGGCACTCATACCACATCTTCTTATATCTAATGACTACAAATAAGGAAGCAGAAGCCTCCATGTTCCGGATTATAAGGACCACCGGCTTCGTTTTTGTTTCTTACCTCTTTGAAATTTGAGTTACGAAAATAAAGAGAATTGGTATGATTGCCACTGCGACAACTATCCACCAAAGTTTAAATGTGAAGTGGATGTTAGCAATCAACAATGAAAAAACCCAAACCGTATAGTCGGCTATAAAACTGCCCCGACATAAAAAAAATTATGAAACAATCCAATTGAGAAAACTAACAACCAAGTTTATTACAAAACGATTTACGAAAAAAAAATATGTCAGACATGAACAAACGACAACCACTGAACTACAGGCTCCTGACTTGGGACAGGCAAGAATGTGGCAGGGTTATACAGGTTTGAAGTTGCCAACCGTCCCCCTAACTTGGAACAGTGGTGTAACAGTACAACATAAGAACAAACAACAGTTAAAAAGGGATTAACTCATCATATTGATACAAAGCAGAAAAACATTCCCCATTTCCATTCTCAATTTAATCTAACAAATACCGTTCGATTTTGCATGTGTGCTCTTTAAACGTGAATTCTAAACATTTATAGACTACTTCTAAGATTGTTAATTGAAAGTACCTCTTGAATTCAGAATAGTACACTTATAAATTAATTTTAATTAATATTTGATATTCAGATGAAGTTTGACTAATTCAAAATACATACAGACTTAAATGAACTTCCGTTATACGGCACAGTTATGTATACATAATGTTCCTTGTTCATAGCGTATTGATCCTAGAAATCAAAATGTTTCATCTTCAAATACCAATGATAATGCACATTAACTCTCTCTTGGTACATCAAACGTTCGTTCTCGCGTTTGAAGATTTTTAGTGGTAATCATTTTACAATCCCTAATTTAATCTTTTCCTTTACTATTGTCAATATATTTAACGATGGTAATGTTCCATAGTCACTATCTGTGAATTACATATTTCTCTGTTAGATATACACGCAGTAACTGTTGCACTGACGTCTCAGATATCAATGAAAATAATGTGCTCATTTATAAAAAGTTAAATAACAAAAAAAAGGAAATTCAATACGGAAAGTCCCTTAATAGATGGCAAAATCTAAACCTCAAACCCATCAAACGAATGGAAAATAACTGTCATATTCTGGACTTGGTACAGACAATTCCTTATGTAGAAAATGGTGGCTTAAACCTGGTTTTATAGCTAGCTAAACCTCTCACTTGTATGACAGTCGCATAGAATTTAATTATATTGACAGCAATATGTGAGCAAAACAAAGACATAATAGGTAAAAACACCTTAACGATCGGAATAAAAATGTCATGATAAGATTGTAAATTATTTTTAGATATAGGCATGTATTAGTAAGGTAGAGTTTAACGTCAAGGATTTAATATAAAAAGTATTTCAAATCCATCTTTTATTATGGTTATATCATTCATAAAATAAACCATACGAAGTCTTTTGTTTTGCCATTTTTTAAAATTAAAGGTGAGGAGTATACGAAGATGAAACAGCAATGTAAAAAATTCGAAGCAAGCAGTTTGCGTCATCATGATGTTAGACATGCATAATCTCGAGAAAGTTTTCGATTAGTGATATTGAAATTTATTTTTGAAAGCATTATTAATTTAATCATATCATGAAAGCAAATTCAATTCCACATTAGACAGAGTAAAACAGAACATTAAACTGTAGGAACTTCATGTCGAGATTATCAATCTGACTGTTCGTGCAATGTAGATATAAATTACGAAAATATTTCAAAAACACAAACTGTAAAAACAAGACACATAATCACCTCTTTCTGTCACTATTTATTCTGTTTTTTATAACTCTTATTATTGATGTTTTATGATGTTTGTTTGTGGAACGTGCAGTTAGGTGACTAATTATTTGGATAATACCTGCTGTATATGCAAGAAAAAGGTGTATATATGCTGCGGTTGCTTTATTTATGTCGGACTGCCACACAAACAGCCTTTGAACGCTTAAACAACAAAAAAAAAACATCAACAGAAAGCATTGAAAACTCAGATAACACACCTTCGTTCACAATATACATTGCACATCTGGACAAACACACCGTGTAACACAGAAAGAGTCGAACATTGTGATAAAACTCCTTGGTCCATAGAAAGCACGTTACTAATATGTCACAGCCCAAAGAAAACATTTAGTATTGAGGCAAACATGACAATAGATTCTTTATCACGAAGGAAAACATATTTTTTTACAAATTCAAGCCAAATCTAAGGACAACAAATATTTTTCCAACAGATATCAACAAATTTCACTGTTATGTCAATTCTGTCAATATTTACAGTCACAATTTATTTTACAAATAAACTGGCTTATATTAAACATTGTCTCCATCAAATAGAAAAAAAAAACTTCAATAAAATATCGCAGGCCAATACAAAACAAAATATACATTAGATATAAATAAAGGATATGTGGAATATTCGTCAACGACAAAAAAAATATTTAGAGGTCGACAATAGACAAGTGCATATGTCAAGACAAGAAAATAGTATACATCTAATAAGGACTATGCTGAGGTTGTGAGTTTAAATCTCGCACGTGGTAGGTACGTTCGACTCCAATCTTAATTGACTAGGAATGTCAGTTTTCCTGACGAAGGTCGGTGGTTCTCTCCGGGCACTCCGGTTTCCTCCACCAATAAAAACTGACCGCCAGGAAATAACATGATAGTGCTGAATGTGGCGTTAAAATACCAATCAATCAATCAATCTTGGTGGAAAAAATATTTGAGTCCGTTTACAATAGAAATTTATATTGACCATAATTAAGTGTATGTATGGAAAATTGATTTTGTACACTATATATTTTAT